GATAATAGTTTTCGCGTAAAAAGAAGAAGAATAAATTACTGTTTTCTTTGACTCAATGTGGATTGAAAACGATCTACGAAAAAAAATAGGATAGCGGCGTGGATTCTAACGAGTGTTATTGAGGAAGAAGATGAAGTTGAACATGAGGAAATAACTTTAGAAGATATAAGGATTATTGATAAACAAGCAAAAACCAATAGACGACAGAATAAAAGAAAGAGGACCGATTTCGCAAAACATGGCAAGTGAGGAAAACAATCAAAGACGGGCTTCTAGAATAAGTGTTAAAGCACCAACAATTTATACATCATCGATCAATTCACGAAATNAGAATATCAGAGAGACAAAAAAATTTTAGAATAGTTTTATCTATCTAACTGAAATTTTTCGAATGTATTTATCATCTTCATAAAAAAAATCTAGGCATAAATTGAACGGAGGTGGTTACGTTTAGTAGTTTAGAAGGGTAGGTTGAAAGTACAATTAGAGTCAAAACGTGATGTTATGAGTTATACCTTTCCACATGCAGATTGGTTTTTATGACAGTCATAAATAAAAGCCGGGGTGATTTCTGCCGGCTAGAGTACCTGAAAAGATTTATGACAGTCAGACAAGAACAGGGTCGAACTTAAATTTTTTTTAAACTAAAATTTTATAAAAAACCAAAGTTTAGTTATAACAACTAAAATTTAATTATAAAAACTAGTATAAAAGTCTTAGAAAAAAATATGACTTTTAGGAATGCCTAAATAATAGAATAACAAAATTTTAAANTAATCGGGAAACTTTACAACGACGTAGTACTTGCCAAAATAGCACACCTTTTTTGTACAAACATAGGATCGCAACTTTTTTGTTTTTGAGCTATGAGCGGTCAAAGTTAACCCAAAAATTTACATTATTCTTTTATTTCGGCTAGCAGTAAGCCAAAGTAATTGAAAATATGTACGTATTAATGTACGTATTCTACTGGTTAACACCTTATTTTCAAGCATACTTTAAGCTTCCTTAGCACCCTCTGATGGGTTGAAAGTTATAGCCCCTTTGAATTTTTTATAAGAATATTTTAACATCGTGGAATATTAACACAAAAAATAATAGTTGTAAAGCTCATTATTTAATGGTACTCCTTTGTCTCTTTAGTTTTTTTCTTAAAGATAATAGTTTTCGCGTAAAAAGAAGAAGAATAAATTACTGTTTTCTTTGACTCAATATGGATTGAAAATGATCTACGAAAAAAAATAGGATAGCGGCGTGGATTCTAACGAGTGTTATTGAGGAAGAAGATGAAGTTGAATATGAGGAAATAACTTTAGAAGATATAAGGATTATTGATAAACAAGCAAAAACCAATAGACGACAGAATAAAAGAAAGAGGACCGATTTCGCAAAACATGGCAAGTGAGGAAAACAATCAAAGACGGGCTTCTAGAATAAGTGTTAAAGCACCAACAATTTATACATCATCGATCAATTCACGAAATTGTGTTAGTATTTACTACAATGTATAGTATGCTATCTTCAACGAGAATGAAAACAGTCTGTGTTAATTTTTAATATTTTTTGTAGTAATATTCAAATAAAATTTGTTGTATGTTCTCTGCGTTGTACTTTTTACAATAATTATTATACAATTCGTTTATGGTACACATTATTATTGTGTGTAGTAAAATTATACACAGCATGTGCAACATTAAGTTACGACGCGTCTTCGACCGATTATTTTCTATATTTTATCTTCTGTGTTCTGTTAACATAGTTAGTGCTCAGGTGCTCAGTGTAGCTCACTGTTAAGATGTGTGACAATGTCAACAATTTTCTCAGAGAATGGGCATTGTTTGATGTACTTGGAGAACGATTCAACGGTAAGTAATGAAATTTATTTATTTATTCGGGTTGCATCAGTTTCGGCCCAGAATACATGATTCTCCGTGTAATGGATTTATTAAAATCGCGCTAAACTTCTGACCGTAAAAGCTAAACGTTTCTAGATAATCTGAATAAAATTTTTTGCGATTTATAAAAAGATCAGAAAAGTTAAAAGAAACAGCTATTTATCACGGAGCTGTTGTTGGCAATTGTTATATACAGGATGTCAGATAAAAAATGCCCCAAGCTGTAACTCTGTCATTTACATTCCGATTTTCACGAGCGAGATATCAAATGAAATGGTTTGAGGAATACTATGATGCATGCTACAAATAAATTTTTTCCAACGCCATCTTCAATTTCAAGCGGTTATTAACTTTTGTTTTTTAAATGGCTGCGTATATTTTTCTTCGCGTCATTGGATAGAGTTTGTTTTTCTGAATCCATTGATGTACAATACATCCATTTTAAATATAATATTAGCAGAGAAAAGACACCTGTATATGCAGGTTGTCACACAAGGATGCCGCAAGCTGTAACTCTGTCATTTACATTCCGATTTTCATGAGGGTGGTACCAAATGAAAAGGTGTGATGAATACTATGATTCATGCTACAAATAAACTTTTTCCAACGCCATCTTCAATTTCAAACGATTATCAACTTTTGATTTTCAAATTGCTCGGTGTTTTTCGTCATGTTATTGGATAGAGATTTTTTTTCTGAACCCATTGCTGTACAATACATTAACATTAATTGTAATTGTACTAGAGAAAAACATTAAAATAGTTTCCGAACATTCTCTTAAAGTCACTTGTGTTATATTGTAGTGTGCCATGGGAAAAAATAATCATTTACAACTGCTTCTGGCATTGAAATATCATTAATAACGAATTGCACGTTATTTTTTCTATCTATCTATTTTTTTCATTCCAACTTTTGATCGACAACCCCGTTGTTTAACGTTGTTTTTGGAAAAATTTTAGAGAGACAAAAAAATTTTAGAATAGTTTTATCTATCTAACTGAAATTTTTCCAATGTACTTATCATCTTCATAAAAAAAATCTAGGCATAAATTGAACGGGGGTGGTTACGTTTAGTAGTTTAGAAGGGTAGGTTGAAAGTACAATTAGGGTCAAAACGTCATGTTATGAGTTAAACATATTCCCCAAATTTCATTTTCCTAGCGTTTATGGTTTTTGAGAAAAAAAAATAAAACCAAAATTTTCCGCCATTTTTGGAGGGGTGAGCTACACCCCTCCAAAAATAGGGGAGCCGAAGTCGCCCATGGTTCATATATCAAAGTACCCTTGAAATTCACTAAAGAATCACCCCTTGAAGTTTGTTGCAGTCATTCAGATACACCCTGTTATGTATGTATTTTATTCGATTACATTAAGATGCTGTACCAAGTCTCGAGAATTTTTTGGTCAAACTTATCGTTTTGCTTGTTGGTTCAACAATCGACAAACATCTTTATCAAGCGTCCATACAATATAGCGGAAGACATATTCGTAGCGAAGCAATCGTTTCAAATCAATACATTTTGACTACAGCTCAATGTGTTGAACGGTAAGTTGATGATTTGCCTTTGTATCAATAGTTTAGAAACTTAACGAAATTTTACATTTTTATATCAATAGTTGATAAATTTAATAATTTTTGTTCCCAGACAGTTGGTTCCCAGAAATTTGCAATCGTTCACGACCCCATCAGATAAGATAAAGAATTCTAGCTAAATTATTCTAAGTCCGAAACATTGCATTTTAATTTTTGTTATTTGACCCCAAATCTTTGCAATTGACCCCAAAAAACAAATATATACATAAGGCCCGATTCACACTGTGATGCCGTTCACGGTTCAATCTCACTCCGATTTCGTTCCGTTCTTGGTCCGGTCAAACATTCTCACAATATCGTATCGCTCTAATTCCGATCCGATATCGTGCCGGTGCCGGTTCGTCGAAAAGAATATTTGACTGAAGCGAGATCAGACCTGTCATGACTTATACCGACAGTGTGAATACACTTTTGTTCAACCGCAGTCTTTTATCGGTCGTACAACGAGACGTTACGTTTTTCTTCTAAATATTTATGCGTGCAATTTATTTATAACATTTGATTATAAATAATAAATAATTACACTATAATTATGTTGCCAACTTTTCTATAAGTGTTTTTTTCTCGAGAAAAAAAGTGTGTATGGTAAGTTTAGCGAAAATTTTAAAAGACTAGTTGACTGTTTCACACTTTCAAAAAATATTTTATATACAGCCTGATTCAGAGTAAGCGCCTTATTTTTTTTTAGCCACACTATGGGTACTACTTTAAAAATATTTGGCAGTAATATGTTTTAGGACATTCTCTACACGATGGTGATATTATATTTTCAATTGGACGAATTATTTCAAAATGGCGACTGTCAACTTTTTTTTTTAAATGGAATGCCAAAATCTTTTTTTTATTGAGATCTTAAAGCATTCTTTTTACGATAGTATTTTGTTTTTCTTAAAAATCTTTCCCCATCAAAAAACAACTAACATTTTGATCGAGTAGCGCATGAATGTTTTACACTTAATGTTATTTTTTTTTTTGCTCTGAGGCCCAGATATAGATATTTCAGATTCATGATTTTATTGGCGATCGACTCAAAACCGCTTCGCGGTCGACTCGTCGATCGCGATCGACGTTATGGACACCACTGATATAAAGTATGATATTCGCCTTCTTTTCTCGTTAATAAACTGGGATGTAACCACATTCTTCTTCTCTTCATTTTACGTTGTATTCTTTTTTTAATTGTCTCCTGTTCACCCAAAACAATGGCTATTATCGCTAATTCTTCAACTGAAAAATTAAATGCCATTTTTTGGCGAGTTTTATCAACGTCCTATGTCGACCATGGATCCCATGGATCGAGACAGACTGATTGTGAGACTAGTAATGTAGACCAGGGTTGCTCAACCTATCCGAGTACCGTTTACCTATGCACGGATTTTGGCCCGCGCAATATATATATACCTGGAACTCTGGAACCACTGTGGCCCGCGTACAAAAAAAGTTTGGGCACTACTGGTGTAGACACAGCAAGATTTGATCGGAGCGAGAATGATCCGTGAACGGCAGTACAGTGCGAATCGACCCACACACATAATTAAACAAAAGGTCAGACGGGCGGTCAGCTCTCTTTCGAATTTGAATTATCTTGTTTTTCGCTATTGATGGTTTTTTAAATTTCTTTACCTCGAACAATGATAACCTTGAACACGACGAATCCTTTTAAAAGAGTTTGGATCTCAAGAAGAATTCACATAATCTTTCACATCACCAGTGAGTGCTATTAGTTAGCCAACCAACCTATCTATCGACTAAAAAAAATGAAGACTATGATTTTGTTAGGCATGTTGATTAATGCAATCACATGGAACGTTGTATATACCCAATCTAACAGTAAGTTATATTTGACGTTTTTTTTTAATTCTATTTCTATTTAATACACTATACATAAACTAATTTTATTTTAATTTAATATATTATATTTAACTTAACTTTTGTTTGGACATATAACTTATATACAGGGGTGATTCACATAAGAACCGACACAGAGCAGGGACATGTAGAGGACAATAAATTAAGATGATTTAACGCAATTTATCTCTATACTAAGTTGTACCCCTGAAGAGTTATAGGCCTACAAAGTTGGGTCTTAAATTTTTAAAACATTGAATATCTTCGTAATACATTAAGCTAGAAAAACCAAATTTGGTATACGTTATGAGTGTACCGAAGGTATTAATTGGTAGCAAATTGAGACCAATTGAGGCATTTCAAAGGGTTGATTAAGGGTGATGGTCCCCTAAATTTTGACAGATTTTTTTAACCTTTTGGTGAATTTAATACATTATTACCTCATTGCATGTGGAACTTAATTCTACAACTTTTTTTACTCGTATTATTTTTTAAAAATCATTGTCGTTTTCATAAAAAACTTAAATAACTAAAGACACGTATTTCGTTAATGCTACTTAAAATCATCGAAAATTCAGTAGTCGGCTGTGAAATTGTACGTCAAACTTTACAAATAGGTTATAAAACCCAAGGTTCGTAAAGCGTATTGGTACAATACGCTTTACAAACCTTGATAAAACCTTGTTGTCAAATAATTTTGATCATGAAATGAAGTAGCAATGTATTAAATCCGTTAAAAGGTTAAAAAAATCTGTCAAAATTTAGGGTACCATTACCCTTAATCAACCCTTTGAAATGCCTCACTTGAGTTCAATTTGCTACTAATTAATACCCTTGGTACACACATAACGTATACCAAATTTGGGTTTTCTAGCTTAATGTATTACGAAGATATTGAACTTTTAAAAAATGTAAGAGTCAACTTTGAAGGCCTATAACTCCTCAGGTGTACAACTTAGTATAGAGGTAACTTACGTTAAATCATGGTAATTTATTGTCCACTACATGTCCCTGCTCTGTGTCAGTTCTTATGTGAATCACCCTGTACATATCTGTACCTTAGAGGTAAAGGATTGTATCTCCATTATTTTAGGTTTTTTAGAAAACAAGGTTTAAAGGTTTATACTATTTAATACTATTATAATAAGTTTTATAATAATTAACTCGATATTGATAAAAACTGTAGTTACGATCCTTTACCCCTAAGGTACAGATATACAGTGTCCTCCAAAAAGTCAGCACCGCCCGTTTTATTTTTATTCCATTACATCAACGTTTCTGAAATTTAGCTTATATGGGAGGCTCATACCGATCTTTCGATCTAAGGTATTTTCAAGATGGTGACTACTTCCGGTCCCCCGGAAGTAGACCTCAACTTCGTTATTTTAAATGGAATGCTATAGTTTTTCTTACACCTTTTAATTGTATGCGAAAAAATATGTTGACATTTTTCGTTTTCGAGTTATTTTGATTTTAAGTTTTTGTACTATTATTCTTCAGATGATATCAAATAGATTGTCATTTGTTGTATCAGAGTATCTTATACAGAGTGGTCAAAAATTGAATTACCGTTTCTCCATATTCAATGCCAAGAAAGCTGAGAATTTTAAATGGAACGCCCCATATTTTTTAACCTACCTAAGAGAGAATTAAATTTTTTATCCAAACCTAATTTTTGTTTTCATTATTTCATTTATTTGTTCTTCTATTTGTTATTTTTGGTACATCAAAGATAGTAAACTAAAAGATTATCAACCAAAGTTAATTGTAAAAATAAATTAAACGAAAAACTGTCAAAATATCATGGCCTAATAAATGGCAAACTCCCTTTCTGCTTAGCTAATAAAATATGGGACGTACCATTTAAAATTTTCGACTTTCTTGCCATTGAATGCGGAAAAAAGGTAATTCACTTTATGACCAGTCTGTATAAGATACTGTGATACAGCAAATGACAATATATTTGACAGCATTTGAAGAGTAATCGTGCCAATTTAGAGCTTTTTTGAATGAACGTTTACTGAGATATGGAGTTTTAAAAGGTATGGTGAAAATTGCCAAGAAAAACTTAAAATTAAAATAACACGAAAACGAGAACCGCTAGGTACCAATAACCTTTATCAAACTCAACTTATTTTTCGCATATAATTAAAAGGTGCAATAAAAACTATAGCATTCCATTTAAAATAACGAAGTTGTGGTCTACTTCCGAGGGACCGGAAGTGGCCACCATTTTGAAAATACTTTATAAACTAAACTATATAAACTAAATTTCAGAAACGTAGATGCAATGGAACAGAAATGAAACGGGTGTTGCTGACTTTTTGGCGGACACTGTATATATACGTATTTTATTCGATTACAAGATTCTGCACCAAGTCTCGAAAGTCTCGTTTCGTTTGTTACCACAATTGATAAACATCCTTATCAAGCGTCCATACAATATAGCGGAAGACATATTTGTAGCGGAGCAATCGTTTCAAGTCAATACATTTTGACTGCAGGTCAATGTATTGTACGGTAAGTTGATGATAGCTTTTATATCAATAGTTGATAAATTTAATAATTTTATTACGAATCGATTTTTTTGTAGGAGATCTCTTGATCTGTTGAGTGTTCGCGTCGGTTCGACCGAAAACAATCGCGATGGACGAGTAGTTTCCGTTAGTTCAATCAACATAAATCCCGATTATAGTCCGAGAACGCTTGACTATGATATTGCCATTTTAAAACTAGCATCGTTCCTCGTCTTTTCCAATACGATCAAATCAATTGACATGCTTGCTGCCGGTGAGGATGTGGAACCGTTGACTGACGTCATCGCGACAGGCTGGAATAGTGCGACCCATGACAATTTAAGCTCTACTGAATTAGTTATCGTTTCGGAAAAGGAATGTCGTCGTTTGTACGGATTAAATGGCATCACGCCAAATATGATATGTGCAGGGGGTGGAACCGACGGAATTACCGGTGGCGAAGATACTTGTCTCGTAAGTTTTTTCCCCAAAACCCCTTGATAAGGTTTTCCTTTTTTATTATTTGTTGTTCTTATTGTTGCTATTGTTGTGGTTATTATTATTCTTGTTGTGGAGTACAAAAAACTGTGTTTCTCTTCTTCTTATAGATTGAACCAGGTACGGTGCTGGTTATGGAGAAAACCACTAAAGATTCAGCTGGAGTAACGTCTGTCAAACCGATATTAATTGGCTTAGGTTCTTGGGGATACGGATGTTTTCGTCCGCAACATCCAAATGTTTACGCATCAATTTCCAAAAATCGAGAATTTATTGACAAAACCATATCTTAAAGAGAATGCAATCTAATCCATTTTTATTATTGTTGATATCGTGAAATAAATATCATGTTTCTTGAAAAAAGAAATAAACCATCTTTCTTGAATTCTATTTTTTTATAGTCTTTCTTTATGAAAACAATTATGTTTTAAGAAATTAATAAAAAATACACAAAATTACATTAAAAATTAAAATTACATAACAAATAAATATAATGTATAGATTACATTTCCTGTATAAATGTAGGTTCAGATTTTAATCGGGAAACTTTACTAGGACTTAGTACTTGCCAAAATAACACGATTTCATTGATAATCAAGCAAAACCAATAGGCGATAGAATAAAAGAAAGAGGACCGATTTCGAGTAACATGGCAAGTGCAGAAAAGAATCAAAAACGCGCCCTACTACGCCATGGCGTTAATTTCGGGGTGTGATAGTTGATGTAGGGAATTGAACGCTGTCCGTCTGAATTCGTGGATGGGTATTGGACATAGAGATGTCGCGGTACAAACTTTCGCTGGTTCCTGGGATGTTACCTTCTTTAGATTGAAAAGTGAATTGGTGGGAATGCAAGAGAATTACAGATTTAGGTGTGGTAACGAAGAGAGGGCCAATAGATATTGGAGAGGGTGTAGACTGTGTGAGAAGGCCTAGGAGTCTTTCCACCATTTGCTGGTAGGGTGTGGTAAGCTGAAAGAGGAGGTGATGACCTGGAGACAGGTGCTAAGAGAAAAAGCGGAGGGGAGGAGATGGATGGGTGAGGTAGTGGCAGCGAGGGAACATAAGGATGCCCAGGAAGGCTGGGGAAAGAGGTAGGAGTTAAAGACAATTGGGATATACCTGAGTTGTTATTATTATCTCTATGTGAATTATGTATTGTAATCCACTGGAAACAATTCTTATTATTATTTCATGGTTTTGGACCTGAGCAAACAAATGTTATTTCTATGTTAGTTAAGACGCTGAATCCGAATCTACAATCCGTCTTTTAACATTGATTCTAGTTTTTGAGATATTTAACCATGTCTTGATGTAACTGATCTTCTTGCTCGGCGCTCCAATTGCCTAAGTTTTTAGGGAAAAAAATTAAGGTGGGTGTGCAGGAAATGAATCCTGAGAGACACTCGAGCTCTAATTTTGTGAAATCTGAAGAGTTCACTGAAGAAATCACTTAGTTTACTTTGCGTTATTAAATGGTTTCCTGCCATGTTGATCACTACTATCACTGGTTGATAGAGATGTAGTCAAAATTTGCTGGGCACTTAAACTTACACCTGGATAACCTGGCAATGGCTTGAACACTGATAATACATCATGATATTTGTATTGTGCTAGTTTTCTTGCATTAATACCAACGATGTTCATCAAGCAAAAGTAGCAATTATCTACATGATTTTTTGGTTGTCTCCGTAGCATTGACAATGAAAATGAAAAGTACACTTTTTTATCAAGTGAAAACAGTCAGAAACAGTATCAGTCAAAAATAGTAGTAGTAATGTAAATAAGTAATTCATATACGCGTGTTTTAGCGCATATGTTATAGTTTTGCCACTTTTACCGCTATTACGTGCTTTTAAACAATCAATATTTGAATAGAATTGAAATGATGCCTAATTTCAAATTAAGTTTTGGTTATCAAACGTTAATATTACCAACTTAAACTCAAAAAGCATTGCACTCTAAGTGGTTTTTTATTGAGCATTCTATTAAATTATCATCGTTTTCCCCAAATTCATTTTTACTTTTTAGCAGAGTGTCGGTTTAAAACAGCTACAGACTTTTATGTTTTATACTTTTTTGTCTATATATAGACAAAAAATGTAGTTTCTGCTAACTATTCCACAAAAGTCAACTTTTAATAGCAATTTCGAAAAAAACTTTTTCAATTGGGCAAACTTTAAACCAATAATGTAGCGATCGCAGTTTGTTTGCGATTATATCGATTTAATTGTTGGATGCAGATTTAAAAGATCCTGTTCAACGATGTAGCTAAGTAAATAATGACCATTTTGGCGTTTATGTTGTTTTGGCTTGGCAGCGTCCAAATTTGATGTTCGTGTTAAATAAAACATAAGTTTTCCTTCATTCAAAAATAATTATTTAATTTTAATTTTTATTTATAATAATTGGAATAAAAATTTCAAGTTAAATAATTATTTCTGAATAGAGGATGGACATAAAATAAATCTTTATTTTATTAAAAGTTTCTTTTTTAACACTTTCCTTTCACATTTTAACATCAAAAATTCTAACTAACAATATAAGTTTTTATCATAAACGATTTGTTGAATTAGCAGTGGAATTACTAGAAGAACTCTTACTACCAAATATCGAATATTTTTGTTCATCCCTAACTACTATTTTTTTCATACTAGGTGAATTCCTGGTAATAGAAAAATTGCCATTTATGTTTTGGCTAGTACCAGGTTGTGCAGCACCTCTAGGTGGCGATGGTGGACTTACTGGTATAGAATAAGTATTAGATTGTGGAACTTGAACATTTATTTTGTGGGAAATTCCCATTTCTTTCGTTTGATTTTGCATTTCATTTAGTTGTTCAATTTGCGCTGGTTTGATTATTGATTGGAGTTGGTTCATGTTACCATTAGCTAAAGAAGTCATAGAACCTATGCCGGAAGAGTCCTCAGGGTTCTTATTAAAATGTACTTTTTTTCTTTCCATTTGTTTTTCTAAAGGAATTCGTGGATCAATGGGTGGTGTATAAACTGTTGGTGCTTTAACACTTATTGTAGAAGCCCGTCTTTGTTTCTTTTCCCCACTTGTCATATTATTCGAAATCGGTCCCCTTTCTTTTATTCTTTCACCTATTGGTCCCGCTTGATTATCAATAATCCTCATATCTTCTTCAGTTATTTCTTCATGTTCAACCTCATCTTCTTCTTCAATAACACTCGTTTGAATCCACGCCCTTATCCTATCTTTTTTTGCAGATCGATCCACAGTTGTTTCCAGTCCATATTGAGTCAAGGAAAACAGTAATTTATTCTTTTCTTCGGGACTACTATGAAAACTATACATCGATGGACATAAACCTTCCTCTTCCATAGCAACCTCATTATTTTTCTCCATTCCTACTTTAGACATCCACCGATCATCCATAAATCTATGAATCTCAGCTAATCCTAGAGGTCTTTTTTCAGGTTTAGGTTCTAAATATTTTTTAAATAATTTTTGGGCTTTCGACGAAACCAATTTGAATAGCTTCGGTTGTTTCTTTAATGGTATCGTTGTGGCTTGCCACGAAAGATAACGACAATATCTTGGATCGTCACTCGCAGCTTTTTGCCATGGAAGACAACCGGTTAAACATACGAAAATTACAATGGCAAACTGCCAAACATCATGAGAAGTTGAAGCCCTAAAAAAAGTAACAACAATTAGATAACGATGTGATGGGAGAAAATGAACGAAAACATAGAGTAATCGGTGTTTTAAATGATTGTTTATGTGAATACTACTTGAGACTTAATTTAGAACTGCGATAAATTCTTATTGGGTATAAGAAAACAACTAAAAATAACTCGTTGTAGTTTAATTTGTAAAAGGTTTTAAAAAGGATTTAGAAAGTACGTAATATTAAAATGTGTTGGAATTCCGAATTCTTTAAATAATACCAACAGGGCCAGATTAGACCTACATACAAACACTTAATACTTTTACCTAAAAATATTAATATTAATGGTTATTAAAATATATTAAATATTTTATGAGAATGCGACGAGAATCCTAACTCGTGTTAGGATGGGAATCTGCATCAAAACGAAAAAATAAGGTTGTGTAACCAATCTTCGATAAAATGTTACTTGAATGGAGAAAGGAATGTCTGCCAACAATGTTTATTATGATGTCTGTCTTAAATTTAATGCCGAGAAGTTTGGTGGAGAACTGTGAGACTGCAGTAAAAGTCAATAATAATTGGGTATAATATCTGCAGATAAATCTGAAAAAGGCAAGATTATTATGCACGAGAGATTTTATCACTACAAAATGTTAACGAATGACTTAGTGATATGTGCTAATAGGAAAAGCAAAAAATGTTCCTAGAAGAATTAAATGAAAACGGAGAAAACATAAGAATAACTGCTATATTTACTAAGATTTTCAGTACTCTACCATTGAAGTACGGTCAGTGTAGACAAACTTGGTTGTTTCTGCAAAGTATACAACATTAATAAATCTGTTGTCAAAGTTAATTGATAATACAAATCAGCAGATATACTAGACAAAAAATTGGATCTTTTACAATAATTGCTAAAACCTGGACACTTTGTGAACGATTGTCGTAATAAGCCATCAAACAAATAAGAATACACAAAAACAAGAAAAAAATTATGTAGCATTTAGTTGAGATGTAGACTTGAAAATGATTCCTCAACATAAACAAGTTTTTTTGTCCTTTGAAGAATAAGACAACTTGTTTGGCAGGCTTGGTAACGAAGAAAAGTTGAACATAAGATCCAATGTTTAGAATTAGAATCACCTGAGTCAAGTGTACAATGAGCGATATGAGCTATGTTTCTTAGTTAAAAAATATCTATTCTCAGAAGGTTACCAAAAGATTTCTATTGAATTTTTCAAATAACTTCTAAATTCCAAATACCCCTATTCAAAATTTAATCGAGCAGAAACGATGCGATCAATTATTTTCAATCTTCATAAATTCAAGCTTTTAGTAGTTGATTTTCTATTCCATGTTATACTTTATTTACTCCTTTAATTTCTATGCTAGCGTCAGGTTCTACCAAGTACATATGTATGCAAACGATACACAACTTTATGACAGCTACCTTGACCCAAGGTTTGTAAAGCGTATTGTACCATACGCTTTACAAACCTTGCCTTGACCAACGCAATTTTAATCATTACTTGAAGAATAATCGAAGACGACAAATTGGCTATTTTTCGTGAGAGTTTGAGCCAAGACTCAAAAGCTAGGATTCTTATTCATTTCGTGGTTTGCCTGAATCAGACCCATGGTCGCCTATGCCTCACTGGTTTGGTGGCCAAAAACAAATTATAAGACAGCTGGCACAAATCCAGCGATTAGCATGTCTTAATACAATGTACAACGGGTGCAATGAGATCTTGTCCGACGGCTGCTCTTGAAGCTCTACCCGGTCTCACACCATTTCATTTATACATACAAAAGAAGCAGTTTTAAGTGCTTTATCACTGAAAAAATGCTCTTCGCTCAAGTTGATGCAGGGTAACCTCAGAGGACATCTCAAACTCCGCAAGGACCCATACCTAAACCATTTGATTGAAATTAGAACGGAGCTTATACCGACAGTATACAATTTCGACCAACCGTATAAGGTCATATTTAGAAGCAGAAATGATTGGACGAAGGCTGAGCCTCAACTTAAAAGAGAAGCCTTGCCTGGTATACCGATGCTTTAAAGACAGTTGGATCCGGAGTAGGTATGGGCATTAGTGAACCGAATAGCAGCATTAAAGTGCCCCACAGCTCGGACATAATCATTTTTCAAGCAGAAGTTCTTGCTATAAACTTCTGCGCCGTTTTGAACCAAGATGAAGGTGCATCCATAAACATTTTCACCGACAGTCGGACCGCCTTAAACGCAATCCAACCCTACACGTGTGAGTCCGCACTGATCAGAGAGTAAACATGGATTCTCCGATTTTTGAGGAGTTAGCTTACACAGTATGAAATTACAATTGCTTAGCGATTATCTCCATTGGATTGTAGATCGTATAGACGTAAGATGAACATTATAGTTTTTGGTTTGGTAAAGGGGAAAGATGCAATTGGGATTAATGGTACCACTCACAGTCGTAATTGGGTTGTGAGTCCCGTCTCTATTATTATATCTAAATTTTACCAATAATGTACCTGAAATAAACCTGCGCACGCTAAGTAAGTTTGATGCTATAAGGATAAAAATAAGTAGTCCTCGTCCGTTTAAAGTTTCTTCTAACACATCGAGGCCTATTAAAGCTATAGAAGAATGGGATAACATTTTAATAACACAAATATAACTACAAAATTATCCTAATGCTAGATATAAACAAAAAGTATTATTGAGGACTTGATAACCTTGCTGGTTAGTGAAATTGCACTATTTGAGTTGTTCTGGAGTTGTCACGACGTCTTCTCGCCGTTTATATGAATTGGCACAGTTTCCCGATTTGCAGCATATGATGTCCCTAACACCTTGAGTAAATATTTGGATATGATGTGGTATGCGATAAATATTCTAATGAATAAGATCCTCTTAATACCGAGATTTCAACAACTAACAACTGTAGATTTGTATTAGGGAAATCTTTGAGTCTAATTATTAATAAGTTAATTAAACTTCCGCATTCAGAACAGATCTAAGATCAGTTGTATGGCACCAATTCACAGGAAAGATTACAAAACAGTTGTCGACAATTGCCGTACTTCTTCATAGTACCTATCCTCATCGGAAATTACGATAAAATAAAAATCATAGGTTGTTTTGACGAGAACATGAATTTATTATTGTACATGTGCATAATTTTCCATGCATATGCGAGTGAACCCAGCAACGTAATCAAATCATTAATGAAAATCATTAAAAGAAGTAGCCTTAAGTTCGAATTTTGCAACTGTTTAGAGATAGTAATACCTACACATCTCAAGCACATATCCATCGTAAAAGTCATAATTGGTTCTCCCGGAGAGGTAGGCCTATAAGCATTTGAAGATTTTATTTGAGATTAAATTAATTTATCCCGTTAAAGGTGTTATTCTGTAATACACGGATCGCCTACCTAGTATGGTACTCTTTCAAGAATTCCTACAGTCCGATAGAGTGGGTTTAATAATATTGTTACTGTTAGTTACTATGTGCCAAGTTACCATGCATCAACACAATATTGATTGCAAAAATTGAACAATTTAGGGATTATTTTGAGGTCACAGATTATGTTCAGAACCGTTTGAATTTTTGAACCCATTGAACGCGGTTTACTACAATAAGGTCATCTGGGACAGATACACGGTTCAGAGAGAAAATATGCTCAAAACTGTTCTGTTCGATTGATGCGGTTTATTCGTATCGACTGCAACTTCGCTCAATACTTTCAAAAACTTTCATAATTGTTCAAATACTATTATGTTTCTAAACTCAAATTAGTTATTAGGTGCATCGTGGTTAATCTGGCCCTGTATATGAAATAAAACATACATATAATTGCCGTCTGTTGCTACTTGTAATACTTCAGGAGGAGCATAAGGTAACCATTCATTTCTTCTTAACACTAAAGCCCCAACACGACGAGTTTCCCCGAAATCGCACAGTTTAATACGCGAAAAATCCGATTTAAACACTAAAATATTGTCAAGTTTCACATCACGATGCACTAAATCTCTGCTGTGCAAATGATCCAAAGCAGCAGCCAATTGCTTTGCCACCCTTTTCGTATGAAGCTCCCCAATCCCAGTTTCAGAGACATTCGACGTTAAATCACCTGAAAATTAATTCAAAATTAATTGGTAAGCGAATATTTTCGACGCAATCAAGGTTAAATAAAGTTTATCGTTCAAATTGTGGAAAATGTTTGGCAGCACTCAACTAAGTAAAAATAGACCACTTGTTATTTATTTTCCTAAGTGTTGTAGTGAAATTTCAAGTTTAAATTGTTGTATTTTCTCATACAAAACAATTTTCTATTGATAGTTCTATTGTATCTAATTATATTTATTAACTGCGAATAAAATTTCCCAAATAAGTGTCATTTTAGAAATGTCTGGGATTTATCCAAATTGAGCTAAATCTGAAACATTAATCTTTGTCTCACTGTAAACTATAAATACAAATAATCTAAAATTAACATTCAAGGGTACTGAAAATTATATACATACAAAGGATTCAAACTCACCCAACGGAGCATACTCTTGCGAAAATACATAAAATCCTGCAGTTTCAAAAGCTACATCGTACGTGGTGATAATATTTTTGTGTGCTGCCAGATGCAATCCATAATGAAACTCTCTGTAAAAGTCTTTTATAGCTGTATAAGGTTTCGGAAGGGCTTTCAGTACCATTTCTGTATCAGTCGCTTTGTGTTCAACCAACAATATTTTTCCAAACCAACCTTCCCCGACGATTTGTAGTATGTCGAACTCGTCTGCCAAACTCACCTGTAAATATTATGCTTGTCGAATTTGAAATGTTTATTTTTATAATTTGGTGTTATAAACAACGAATCACATAAAACGATCGGAACAAATCGTGAAAATTTTTCATCGTAACTCGAAATTTACTTTTTGCAATTAGTTTGGCAACCAGTCAAAGCGAATATCTTAATCGCGCCTCTAAAAATACTCGAAAGAGACAAAAAAATTCTTTGGCAAACATTAAAGACAATTGTATTTCGGTTGAGCACCTATTGAAGAAAGTATGTAAATATCTTAAGCGTTCCAATCAAATAAAAAATTAAAAACACCAGGCCAAATAATTTATTGAAACAAAACAATACACTTTGTTTCGTTTATTATTAAATAATTCGTCTTTAGTAGATTTGATGTGAGGTTATCTGGAAAACGTGTAATTTCGCATGAAATAAAAATATTTTCAATTTGAAAATAACGTTCATTTATTCACTACAGTCTACACAAACGGTTTATTACCACTTCGATATACTGGCTTAGCGCCAAATCAAATCGTAAGTTTTCCTGGCTAGACGTTATACATACCCGCAGATTATAATAAAAAATATCAACACGTTAATATCTTAGAATTTCTTAAATAGACCTAAGTATTTATGTTCTAAAAATCACCTTTTCAAGTTCAAACTCTCGTATTCGATGTATACTGCCACCAATAGCTATTTTTGATAAGCTTCCCATATCTTGTTAATCTGAAAATAAAACATTCAAAAATTATTTGTTTTTAAATTAAAATAAATAACAAAGAAAAATAACAAAAATATATCTTTGTACCGGAAATGTAAGATCTACTTTTTGATATTTTTGCATAGCAATAATAATTATTAATTTAATTTAATTTTTTAAATGCTTTTAACGTAATTAATCATTCTTTACGTTTTGATGTAACGAAATTTAATGTTAGTAAACAAAATAAAGGCCAGAGTGGGAGGTTACATTTTATGCTGTGTTGTGTGATTGGAGTATCTTACGTTAGAATTATGTGAATAGTTGATTGCCGAGGCTGATTGATAGCTGTGCGATCGATAGTAGAGTGTAAAATAGGAACGTGTGGGAGTAAACCAAACAGTGTGGAATACTTGAAATTACAGTTTACACTTGTAAAGGTTTAAAAAATAAATATAAGGCACTATGTGGTATTTGTCAAAATTATCTTATCTATACAGTGTGATTTATTAGCTCACCATCAAACTTTGACATATGATAGCTAATCCAATTACCAAAAAAAAATGTTAATGAACATATGTCCTATTTCAATTATTTATGAAATTATAACACTTTAAAGTTTTAATTTTTATATCATAATTAAAACAACAAATACAAATATTGTTCAAAATAGCCTCCTTCTGCTAGAATACATGCTTCACAACGACCAATTAAAGAGTTCTTCAGCCGAATTCAAATGTCTGGTTAATTTCTTATTTCAGTAGCAGCCATTTGTATTCTGTTTAATAACTGTTCTCGTGTGTTAATTTCTACTTGATACAGAATTTGTTTCATATGACCCCATAAGTAGAAATCCAATGGATTAAGGTCGGGGGATCTAGGTGACTACGCAAATGGACCATTATTACCAATCCACTTGTTTGGAAAATATTGGTTTAACCACGTGACAACTACTCTTCCGCGATGAGGTGGGGCACCATCGTGCTAGTACCACATATTTTGAATTAAATTAAGAGGTATATCTTCAAGTAAACCAAAAAGTGTATTGTCCAAAAAAATCTGTAATTTACAGCGTTCACACGTCCATCAAGTACATGTAAACCTAGTAAATTGTTGTTAAATATTCCACCCCAAACGTTGATGCTGAAACGGAATCCGTAAAACATATATTCCATGGTAATCACGCTCGTCCGACTTCACTCATTGTGATTTCTTTCTATGAAGGCACCTGAACTGCATCGTGACATACCACACATTTTTCTAGATTGAAAAGAAGCCGTACTAGATGTGATGAGGAACTTTACCGTCTGCAGCACTGCCTCAGCTTGGAAGAACGACATTTATCGGATATTGTATTTCATATTCATTTTTTCTTCTATTAAAAAACAATGTAATAGAGTCTTAATATTATCGTTCTGCCTATGACAAAACCAAAAGAAGAAAGAAGTTATAAAGCAACCAAAAACTTTAAGGAAGGCTATATTTAAAAAAAAAGCAATTAGAAGAACATATCATAAAATGCAGTAAGCTATTTTATGGTTTAACCATAGAAATGATGCAGAAAATAGCTTTCAAATTTGTCGAAATAAATAATTTGAAGCACAATTTTGACAAAACATCCCAAATGGCATGAAAAGGTTTGCAACAAAACACCACTTTGATGCTAACCGTATTTATAGTGTTGATGAGACGGACATATCTAATGTCCAATGAAATTCAAGAATTTTTGCACCGAAAGTGTGGTGAAAAAGACACGATAACAACAGTCGTTTGCGCATTTAGTGCTTTACGAAAATATATTGCTCCGTTTTGTATTTTTAAGAGGAAGGGTATGAATGCCCAGTTATTGTGTGGAGGCAATGCTAATATGATAGCAGCTGTTCGCGATTTGGGTTGGATCAACGAGAACCTATTCGTAAATTGATTACACCACTTCATCTCCTATGCTAAGCCAACTGTTGCAGAGCCAATTCTACTTATTCTGAAAAATCATGAAAATCATGTTAGTCGTGCTTGCTATCTGCTTTGTCACCAAAATGGAATAATATAGTCCCTTCCACCGCACACATCGCATCGTATGCAATCACTACACTTAACACTTTTTGGACCTCGCAAGACTTCATACAACAAAGAGTGCGACTTGTACATGGCTTCAAATATATGCCGAAAAATTACACAGTATGAAGTGGTCGAACTTTTCACGAAAGCTTTCAATCGTATCAATAATATAGGGATAGCAGCAAATGGCTTTCGGGCAGCTGGTATTTTGCCAATAGATACAACCAAATTTGATGAACATTTCGTAACGACATCACTACCTGAAAATTCTATTAGAAATTTGCAAAGTGGCGTAACAGTGACGCCTGACTGATCACTTGTTGGATAACTCAATCCCACTTGAAGATATTGTTAATGTTCCCAAACTATCACAACTGAAAAGTAAACAAACTCGCAGAAAAAAACACTCAGCTCAATAACCAGTAGTGTGCTATGAAAGATATTTTAGAAAAAAAACGACAGAAAGTAAAATAAGAAGCACATGAAAGGGAGTGAAAAAACTGTAAGTTCCACTAAAGGTAAGAAAGTTGTGAAGAATCTTGGATTTGCAGATGATAAGATTAAGACAAAGTTTCAAGGGAAAGATATAACACGCAAGAAAAAAAAGGCCAATGATAGAGATGCGAAGATATCTGTTTTTAAATTTTGTACCTATATCACATCAATTTTTGATTTATTTTAAATCGTGGTATCTTAAACACTACTTTTAATACAAGCTTCTATAATTAGTACACTATTTTTTCGACACCAAGACAATTTTTATTGGAAAGTGTAATTTTGTTCTTTAATTAGTATTTGTTTTTTTAAAGAAAATTTACGGAAACTATAAACTTAATGTAATAAATCAAGTAATGCAAGGACTACCATAACTCAAAGTGTCTTGTTAGCGGTTGAAAATTTTTATTAGTTAAGTAATGACGTTGAACTGGCCGTTAAACTGTTTTTGACACGCATTAACAAGTTAAAACTTCTAGTAATATATTTAATAATATACCAGAAGGTTATTGGCAAAGATTTTATTGATTTTTTTAAACAGATTTTAAACATTTCCTATTTTATTCTAAAACGTTGCTTTAATCTTGGTCAAATTAAACAATGAATAGATTTTATTTTAAAAAGTTACAATATGATAAGGTTGATATTTTAAACAACATGGAAAAATTGTTTAAACTGTTCTTTATTACAACAGTTGTAAAAGTTTAAAAACGATCATAAAGAAATTAATTAATTATTATGAATTAAACTTTAAAAAATTGAATAAAAGTACAAAACTTAAAATTAACGACATATAAATTCGAATATTTCCAAACACAACACAAAAACACCACATTTTAACAATAATACCCAATTTAATTTAAAATTTCAACTTAACAAAGCAACTATGCAATAAAACTAGTAGTACCAATAATAGTCAAAAAATTTCCTTAATTCTATTGCGACATCCGGACCTCGTCGTATTTATACATTGCCGGTTCTAACAATAGGCGAAACGTGCTCTTCGTCCTTCTTACCTTAGAAAATTCTTAATGAAACTGAAGAAGTCCAATTAAAAGTTGTTTAAAAAAAAGTTTTAAAACAATAAGTTTTTTCTTCGTTCACATTTTCCACTAATAAGCGAGAAAAAACTAAAAAAACTACGGATTAAACTCACAACAACGAGTCGGAGCTATATCGGGACGAAAACGAATTGGTTCATGTCGCGGTGCATCTGAAAGCCGGCTGAAAACCCAGGACTGTTTCAGCTTCGATGTTACAGGCGAACACACGACTGCCCGCTACGTCATCCGGTCAGAAATACTGACATTAGGATTTATCTGGGACGATGGAACTTATGGATATTTTTGAACGATCACGTTCACTCTTATAAAACTAATCCAATTAAAACAATATACATTTTTTCTTTTTAAAAAAGTAAAAAATAAATGGTGAAAAATAGATTTTATTAGTAATTTCAAAGAATTTATATTCATTTAAGTTGAATGATGAAAAATGAGAACGATTAAAATAAAACAAATACAGTTTAAGGGAGACGGAACTTGATTAAAAGTATTTATTTCTTTAGATTATGAAACATTTGGCTCGGACGAGTTCGTCGTGAACTTATTGTTGCGACAGGGTTGCGTAAAAGTCAAAAACTACTGACCTAAAAATATGCGGATGAGAATTTTTTGTTTAGTTTATTAAAAATAGGAACTAATGAATAAAATTCTTAATATGTTTAGGTCGAAGAATTGTGTACAGTTTATTCTACTAGATAATTATAAATGGAAAAGAATTAATACTTTGTATATAAAAAAAGTTTGTTGCAATTTTTTGGGTTTTATGTGTCCATCGTTGCAATGAGTTACAGGTTCATAAGAGCTTCATCAAATTTAGAGTAGGAAATCTAACAAAACTTTTTTAGAATATATTCTCAACCTACATTATTGCAAGACTCATTGCCATTCTAAGTTCAGCTTGCAATCATTTTCCAGCAACTCTGGTTTAGAAAAATAGGTGAAGATCGGCCGGATATCCGGCATATCTATTCGGCCACATTATTGCGATATTTGAATAAAAATGAAATTAATAAGAAAGCTGATAAGATATGTCAACTTTTTTGATGCTGATTGAAGCAACTCTAAAAAGAGGATACTTTAATTAATAATTGGTGATATTTCCACAAGAATCCTTCAAGAAATTAATTTTATAGCGAATTTTGCAAGTTATCGATGAAAATTGCAACATCGAAAATTTTATCAAAACTTCAAATATTGTTTTCTCAAAAACTAAAAGTTATTTTTCAAAACGGGTTGGTTCATTGGAAAGAGGACACTTTTATTAACACTTTGGGAAATTTTCATACTCATATTCCAAGAACTGGATTTTATACGAATTTTTAAAACTTAATCGGCGAAAATTGCAAAATTCGAAAAAATTGTCGATCATTTCAAAAATTTATTTCTCAAGAACTGAAAGTGATTTTTCAAAACGGCTTTTTGCATTAAAAAGAGGATACTTTAACTAATACTAGAAAGTGATAACAGCGACAGTTCTGTTAGTAATGAATGTGATGATGAATTACAAGCGAAAAGAAGAAAACTAGATGAAACTTCAACAAGAGATTTTATATATCGTATTGGGATTGTAACAATGAGGTTGCTAATGACAAACCTGATATAAATAAAGTTGTATTAAATGGAAAAAGTCCTATTGGGGTTGAATTTGATTATTATCTGCAGTGTTCAACACCTAAAAGAGATACTAATTCCAGTGAATGGTGGAGTACTAAGTAATAGGCTTTTAATATCCGGCCAAAGCCGGATATTTGGTAACTATCCGGTATCGGGCCGGATTTAAAAAATGGCCGGATAGTTGCCGTTTATCCGTTCGTTCCACCACTACTTTGTACTATCTTTATCTAAAAGATGAAGCTTTGAACAAAGTTCATGTGATGGTACTGTATCTGATAAAAATACAGGAAACTTGGCAGTCCATATTTTTTCTACAGAACCTGTGTTTTTCTTGATTGCAATCCATAATAATTTTGCAATTGTATCTGCCATCTGGTAGCTTTTTGGATTTTTTCATAAGGTTTGAATATGACAAACACACTGAACCTTTTTGCGTCTATTTTTTCACCAAAAGGCTTGTCATCATATTCGTTTTAGTAGACCTTTGGATTGACCTTGTACTGAAAATAAGTGTCTTCAAATCATTTGTTCCAGAAAAAACAACCTTTTCCATAATAAGCCCTAGTTCCATCGGATTTTCTTTCACAAGGATAGTACTTGTACAAAACACCAACATAGACAATTTTGCCTGGCATTAAAGAGGACACTAGAAGAATTTCTTTTAGTGACATATGGCCAAGCTTTTTGCAGAAGCCATAAATTGCGATGGCAGAGTCCTTTGGGTTAGACTGTTTAGAGTTTTATTCTAAGTTTACTCGAGTTCCTCTTCCATCGCCTCAAGAAACTTTATGATATAGGTCTACAACACCTTAAACGTTTTTAACTTCAAGCTTCCCTTTACCTATAAATCGCATACTGTAAACTAATCTACTATACATCTTCATTTGGCTTCTACAATCCTATGTGAATTTTGGCCTCCCTTACTATCTCGCCTCATCTTTCTCTGGCCACAGAAACCTTCCATAAACGCCGTTCCATGCAGTCCCTGCGTGCCACTGCCCTTCCATCGTATTTTTTGTAGCACCACTCATCTCTTGCTGTGGGATGTCGTGCGTACGCATTCCCTACCCCATTTGAAACCCAACATCTAATATTAAGGTCATCAAATATACACTGAACATAACAATATCATATAAGTGATTTTTTTACAGCCGTTTAATTAAGAGGAATATTATTGTAATTAAAAAGTTATTACCGTCAAATATAAAAACAATATGTAATAAAATTAAACTTAATTTTATTTTATTTTATATATCTTACATAATTAAAAATATGCATTAATAATAATTTATATCATACAGACAGTCTAACATAAACTTACATTACATTAGATATTTAAGACTAATAAGAAATTGGAAAAAAGAATTTAGTGCAGTGGTCAATTAATGTTAATGTTATTGAAAAAGAAAAGAAAAGAAGAGATTATGCAAATTAGTGCTGCAATAAATAAAATTTGTACAAATACTCTATTTATTCATCATCACAGTCTTTTGAAGGGTTTTTTCTTCAGTCCTTGTTTTAAGTAAACACATCCAAATAAGTATTTCACGTTGTTGGTATATCACTTTGATCAAATTGTTTAATTTCGTTAATACTTTTCTTTTCGTGCTCCTTTATCTGTTTTAACACGTCTTTTTTATTAACCTCTGCTCGAAGTTGTTCTTGCCTTGTAAAAAACTCACTAGGGTGTTTCTTATCATCCCTTTTCTCAAAGTTATCCTTTTCCAATCGTCTTTCTTTCAGGTTTAGTTCGTCAATTTTTAGTTTTTCTTGTGGTAATTTAATTTCTTTTTTTGTACTAGTTTCAATATCTAATTCTGAATCATCCTTTGGTACATTTTCTTTCAATTCATCATAATTGAGATTATCTGTTTTAAGTTTTAAAAAATTTTCTTTTGGAATTGCTGGATTTGATTCAAGTGGTTTTGGAGTTTTATTACAATTTTTGGATACTTCATCAATTTCTTGTTCATTTGAAAAATCGTTTTCTTCCAAACTGTCCACCTGGCGTTTGTTTCGTGAAGAATTAATCGATAAAATATCTCTCCTAACCGATTCTAAAACCAATTTTGGGTCTTCTTCTTTCTCAGAGTTATTTTCTAATTTTTCTTTGGATGTTGTTTGTTCTATTTTGATATCTTTTTTCATATCTTGTTCAATAGAATTATTTTTTTCATTCACTGGAGTTTCTAAAACTATTTTATTCTTGATTGAGGCTGTATCCACTTTTAATGTAGTAATTGTTTCTTTCTCTTGTAATTTTGTTTGATTTAAATTAGTTTTGTTAATATCTGGATTATACATAGATAAATTCGATTTAGCAATTGGTATAGGAACAAAATTTTCAGGTACTCCCAAATTATTACTCCTACTTTCATTGCTATTCATTGCATATACACTTTTTTTAGGCTGTTTCACACTTTGTGGCTTTATTTCAATATCAACTTCTTTATTTATTTCTTCATTTTTATTTTTTTTAGGTTCCACCAATTCTTTTAAAATATTTTTTTCAGTTGTTTTATCTAAATCTGATGCCATATGACCCATTACGCTTTGAGCAAATTGTTTAATTTCTTTGATACTTTTCTTTTTCTGTTCTTCTATCTCCTTAATCATATCTTTTTCAGCTTTAGATTGGCTAATTTCTGCCCAAAGTTGCTGTTGTTGTGCAAATAATTCAAGCTGTTGCTTGTGCAATTGATCCAACTTAACTTCTTGCTCTGCAAGCTTTTTGTCTTCTCTCTTCTCAACCTTCACATCTTCTAATTGTTTTCCTTCAGGTTTTTGTTCATTAATTTTCGCCTCTTCTTGTTGTGATTTTATTTCTTTTTCTTCTTTTTTAATAGCTTCAATATCCAATTCTGAATTATCCTTAGGTGGATTCTCTTTTAATTTGTTATCAAGGTTGGGAACATTATCTGGTTTTGGGATATCCAAAATAATTTCTTTTGAAATTATTTCTTTTGTTTTATCTGGTTTATTTTGAATTTTCGGTTCTTCAACAACTTCTTTTGGTATTTGTATATTTGGTTCCTTTTGTGGTTCAGCTTCTGGTTCAACCGGTTGAGGAGGCTCATGACGTACTTCATGAATAACTTCGTTTGATATTTCTGGTTGTACAATGAGATCATCCTTTTTACTGTTAACATTCGGAAGATCAACAATATTAACTGAAACAAAAAAACATGTTTTGATTGACATTTAATATAAATTAGTTGAAAAAGCATACTTGTAGTTGGTATATCCACAATTGCTACGTTATCCAGATCTTTAATGGGATCAACAACTTCGATTTTATCAACAATTATTTTATTAGGAGCTTCAACTTCAACGCTTAAATTCGCATAAGTGCCTAAAACCATGACTAATACTCCAATAAATATCATCACCTAAAAAAAATAAACGTGATTTTTGCCTATTAAATATAAAATAAGCCAACCTGAGCTAAAATTCGTTCATTAGTATTCTTCTTTGATAAACAAATAAAAGAAGTCGCTGGGAACAGAACACAAATTAAAATTCCTATTGTGGATCCAATTAATCCGAGTACCAGCTCAATGTTTGGAATTAATATTCCAATTAACAATGAAATTGAAATAATTGCGACTGTTAAAAAACGAAAATTCGAATCAGGAATATAAGATCTTCCATACTCTAATGATTTGTACGCCTAAAAATCAATACATTAAAAAAAAATAGTTTAGAAAATAATTTTTATTTTACCTGAGCGTATGTCATTGAAAATAAACTTGCTCTACAAGGAAATATTATCAATGGAAAGCTGACAGCAACAGATAATACGAAACCAATCTTTATTATCTCTGTTATTACTGATGATTTAAAACTTAAGAGTATATTTCCGGTAAAAGGTTGATCACAAACGGCTATATAGCCAAAGGTGCCGACAAATATGTAAACACAGGTACAAATATTTACTGCCATACGTATCATATTGTTCATTCGATCCAAATTTGCATTAGGAATTGCTTGGTATATTTCAAATAGTTGCCTAAAACGGAACAGAATATAATTTAAACGTAAATTTGTTGAAATACACGCATTTTTGTTATATTTTTTTCTAGAATGTTTGCTTTATATCTCTATTAATACCAGCAATAAGGAAATAGAATTAACATACAACAAAAAAACTGAAAACCAATATAACAAAAAATGATTGAACTGAATTGAATCTTAGCACAAAGATTCTGTTTCAATGAGTCATCCAACAGCGATTTTTTTCACATCACTATCAGAACTTTATGGAGAGGCAATCAATAACATTGAGGTTCGCGAGAATTACGAACCAGATTACGACCAACCAAGGATCAAAGGAAATACCTGATATTAAGAGAAGATAGAAGCAGCCTTGAGGAAAACAAAAATAACAAATCACTAGATGAGGCTAACGCTTACTTGATTACTCTATATTAAGAGATCATTTTAACCTCTGCCTCTACAATAACACGATTTCCAATAAATGGCATAATTCTATCGTGATCCTACTCCATAAGATGGGTGACATAGCTGAAGTAGAGATTTATAGGCCAATAAAGTCATCTTTATACATTCTTCACACAAATATAACCATTCGATTAGAAAATAAGTATGATTTATATCAGCCAGTAGAACAGGCGGATTTTCGTCCAGGATTTGGAACAAATGTCCACCTCCAAAGTATTAAAGCACTCATCGAGAAGACAATAGAATATAACAGACCGTTGGTTTTGGCGTTCCTCGGTTTTCACAAGGCTTTCGATACAATTGAGTTGATGGCACTTCAAGAATGCAGAGTCGATTATCGATACACCAAACTTATTATAACATCTTCAAAACTGCTACAGTGATGGTAAACGTACGAAGTGAAGAGAGCTAGGAAGAAGAAAGTCAACGTTGTGGAAAAACTCAAATGAAACTGAAGACTAAGAATCATAGTGTTACTCCTAGATATTTGCAGAATGCTAAAACTGAGAATGATTTGCAGATATGAAATGAACTTTAAACCAGTACTGTTAGGGAGTGAAACATGGATTTGTAGCGTGTTTCTTGAAATATTGTCATATTATTGAGCCGTAGTATTTCTTTGGCCAAAAAGAATCTTGTGTTGGCCCTCCAGAATAAACGCATCCTCGGACATTTCAGACGGACTTAGAAAAATGAGTTGATACAAAGTATCTATACGTTATTATTGTTGTGAAAAATGGAGCAGCAAATATATCTCAAAGGTATTCGGCATTGATGTTAACAATTACTCTAAAAATAGAATAAAAATGAACCTGTTGACACCTTATAATATTTTTTTGACATTTTTCCCTTTGTAAATATTTTTTAATACATTTTGACCAATTCTAACACATGTTGATGCTTTTGAATATTTTTGATCAGCGGGACAATTTTTAACGGTGTTCTATTTATTCTTTTGCAACACTTTTTCATTCAGTTCCTTTTCATTTTTTGCGTATATCAATATGTCGTCCTGAAACGTTACTACACCTTTACAGTCTTCAAATATTTGAGATATAATTCTATAAAATATTACACCTGCACAATTGATTGCAAAAGACATTCTCAGGAATCTATATCCGAACGGTATCTGAAATGTGCAAATTTTTGAGCTTTCTTCATATTGATTCTAGTGGAATCATACAATATCCCGTTTTTGCGTCCAATTTTGTAAAACGTGTTGCTTCCGTTAATTTAGCTGATATTTCTTCAAACCTCGAAAATGGATAATGTGATCTTTTAATAGCTTTGTTCAAATCCTGTGGGACAAGGCAAATTCTAATTTCATATTAGCATCTCTTTTTCCATTTTATCTTCTTTCTCTATTTGTTTTGCTTGTTTGTTTGTCGTTTCTCGGGTCCTAAATATTTCTAAATTTTTCCATATCTAAATCTGTTACTTGCAGTAACGACTCTTTTAAGTCCTTGTTTATAATTCCACTTATAAAAACGTCTTTTACCAATTGAATCGCTAATTGCAGAAGGGATATATGCCAATAAAACTTAGTTTTGAGAAAAACGAACAAAAAATGTCTTTTTTAAATTTGGGCATTATTATTTTTAAATTGCAAAGTTTCTTTTGGCTAGCAAAAATATCAACTATTATCAGTTGTTTTTGCCATAGATCATAAAAATCAATTTGTGTAATTAATTTTTAGTAAGATTTAATTATCAAAATCTTATACCCTTTCTGCAGTCAACTCCAAAGTTAATAAAAAAGACGGATATTTTTCAAGAAACACTTTATTCAATTAAACACAAGAACAAAAACTAAACTTAATAAATACCAACTCAAATACATTTCCTTATTCTATAGTAGGCCAATCAAAAATTTCATTCCAAAACATGGCTGTTTCTGGAGAATCTTCGATATACATAGCAAACTTCTTAATATGGTCCATTTTATCAGGTTTTATAGCAACTTTTCCGGAAGGATTGCTCAGTTGCATTGGGCCAGTTATATTGTTAGAGAATTTCAAACAAAAAGTGCTAAATATGATACCATTACAGAACTCCTTGGCAACCACGACACCTTTTCCATTATCCTTCCAGTACGAAAATTGGTGAAACTGGGTAATGTTGAATGGTACTCTGTTTTCCTTTCCTATAACTCTTCTAGAAGTTTCGACAGAAACACCAGTCTTTAAAATTTATAATATCCTTTCCATCTATTATATATACATGAATCATGACTTTCTGTTTTGAAGTAGAGTTTGCTATTATCTGTATGTACTATTTTAGAGTATAAACATGATCATACTTTTTTTAATTTTCGCTTAATGTGGGAAAAATCTCTATCACAAGGTAGAAATGAGTGTCCTCTAATAGGAAAGTATTGTTCTATTTTGTCGAATCTACCTGTATCTGTCAAATAAAGATACATTCGAATAAGAGTGTTATTTATGTTCTGTCCAGGACAGTTGTCACTGAACAAGTGTAACTCTTTGACATTATCAGATGTATAATTTTCAATATTTTGATACAGAAAAGAACATACTTCATTGGGCACCCACTTGTCATCATGTTATGAATACAGAACAAACTGACGATTAATTGTCTTAAATAAAAGAGATCCTGTACAGGAGTTTTTGGTAGTTGCAAATTTTGCATGAAGTCGAAAGCTAATGCTACAACATTATTATTTTCTTTTGATAATGTTGTTGATTTTGATATGTAAAGTCGTATAAAACTTTTTGCTCATTTAACATTTTCGCTTAGACTTTTACTCTTTATTTTTATTGAAAGGTTTTCAAGTTGTGCAACATGTATCTACTTGCTGCCTACCAAATTTAAGATCAAAATCTTCTTTAAATAGTTTATTATAATACTAGTATTTCATTTTAGTATTTGGAGTTTTCACCGTTAATTCTGAATTGAGGTAGCGATATTCCTTTGATGAGTAATGGGACGTTTTTACAAGAAATGAAGAAATATGTTCGTGAATTCGTATTTTATCTATAGCACTAATCGCATTAGCACTAGTCTGTTTCCCTCTTTTGTCTTTAGGTATCATGCCATTTTGTAATAATTGCTGAAGGCGCTGTAATCTTTTATTACTTATTGAATGCAAGCTTAAAAATGCATTTTTACGTAATATTTAAATGTCGAATTACGCAATTCTACTGTCTTGCTGTTTGTATTTGTCCGCGGACGACGTTGAGCTACCTTCTTTATTTCCATGTACCCTTATAAATACAGATCTTGCTCATCTGTAGTTGCTAAATTATAGAATCTAGTAAAAATTTCTAACTGCTGGTCATCATCGATTTTCTTAAAACATTGTTGTTTACAATGACAAGGAGTTCCAACACACTTAGCAACAATAACTGAATCCTTGTAATGAACATACTCTTTGCACTTAGCCCTAGAATAAAAACTGCACCTAACCTTAAACTATCTTTCACTTGCGATAAATGAACATACCGGCTATTTTTCATGATGGTTCTTTTATAATCATCAGAATTAACGACACCTCTTTTACGTTTAGTCCCAGTTAATTTCTCCATAATTTCAAAAATACACACATTTAACTGACTTACAACATACAAGGATCTCGAAAACTGTGCACTACACGATGCGTGTTCTCCAAAATACATGCAGTTGCCTGCAGAAGAGATACTAAAGGGTATAGATTGACTTATACCCTTCAACAGTATATACGTTTTATGCGAGTCTTCTTTATTTGATTCACTCATTTTTATCGATTTTACTTTCCCCTGTTACCATGTTCTATTTGTTTTAGTAATAAAGTGAACGCGAACAAATACAGAGCGTTATTATTACCAAAACAAACAGAACAAACGTTTTATTTAATATTTAGACATTACTCTTGGACCGTTTATTATATTTGTATGTCTGGATTAGGAAGAATTTGTGAAATCAACGTCAATCTACATCCGCACAAAGTAACATTTTATGAGTTAGGTTTAGATGCATCAACTTCCATTTTGTGCACATCAAGATAATCTAATCGTAAGAGAAAACTAAAGGAGCTTAGAAATCATGTTCCCTGATACAGTCGTCTCTAATATAAAGCGTTTCTTTGCATTACTACACTTACTCCATCTTAAGTGCCTTGATAATTTTCGAAAAATGTTGAAGTTGCCTAATTGAATGGGTCCTAAATTGTGATATAGAGTTTATTGCCAGCTCCAAAACGTTTGCGAAGGTGACATTTCATACAGCCTGCATGCGTTTTAACTGCTCTACTACTAACATTGATAAACAAGATGAATGCTCAAAACATTAACAAAGAGGTCTTAGCCTCTATTGCTATTTATTGTAATTTAGTAGAGTGTATACTGTACATTTATTTACAACCTAACCCAAACTTCTAAATCACTGGCTAAGTATAACATGAACATTCTATTTATACATATAAGAATACAAAATATAACTTCTAAAGTCAATTACCTTGTGTTACCTTGTTAAGGTAACCAATGTTACTTTTAATCAGCATTGCCGATTTTTATCTATTAATCATCAATTTACTTAATAGAGTTGTTTTTTTATAGATTACAATCTCATCAAATAAATCACAGAAAATAAACACTTATAATCACTCAAATAAATTTAGAACTAATTTAATTCAACCTTAATCAATAATTTAATCATTGAGGTTGATTAAAAATAGCAGGATAAAAATATTGTTTTATGAATTAAAATGTAAATTAAGTAATACTTACGTTTGACAAAATAAAGCCATAGAAAATATAGGTAAACATTGTAAAATACCTTCAGTTCTCCAAAAATATACATGGTTGTACCAATCACCATACATAAGATGTGGTGCTGATTCAGCCATAATCTGAAAGACTATAAGATCTAACAAACGTTGACAATAAAAGTAACTCAATTTCCAAATTAAAATGTACCTTTAATACTAAACACATATAAAATCCAATAGCTGCTGTACACACAACTGTTAAACTATCCACTTGCCTTAACAAGCCCAGTGGTAAGACACAAAATACAGCCAAAAATATTAATACAGTAGTTCGAAGTGTATCTGTCACTGGAATATCGGCCATATCGGCAACAATTTGTGGTCCCAAATCGCCCATAACAACAAAAAAGGCTATGCAGGTACCTAATAAAAAACCTATAATTCCTAACTCAATAGTTAGTTTCCCAAATGAACCAAATGTAAAGAATGCTAAAAATATTTAGGTTAAAATTGATAGTATGATAATAAATACATACCTAAAGATTCAATTGATTTATGTTTTGCAATAACTGACGATTTTAAAAGAAAATAACAAGAAAGTCTGGAAATAATACTGCTCACAATTAACATTAGACTGGATAAAATCAATCCACACTGAAAATACGCAGAGGGAAAAATTTTTAAAATTATTCGAATTGTATTTTAGTTACCTGTTTGAAACAGTATGGCATTGCTAATATGCTAACTCCAATAATACTATTTGCTATTGTCATTACGTGTCCTCCTTGTGAATCCATTTTATATTCTTTTCAAATTATACCTTTATAGTTTTAATCAACCTCAAATCAATTTTTTAATAGTATTTATAATTCAACTCAACAACTCTCGTGCCGTGGTGTTATACACAAATTTTTGACAGCAACTTGTCAAATTTACTTCATAAATACCAACATAAAATTAAACAACAAACATTAAATCTTATCCTTTTTATATAGAACTTTAATCTATACACGTAATAATACAATTAAATTATACATTTAAAATATATATTTTGAACTTATAAAAACATTTGTTTAATGAAATTGAACAGGAACATTTATTTTGCAACTAAGTACTAGTTCGAAAAAGTTGGTGATACTTGAGTTGAGCGCCAATTTTATTTCTAACCTTAAATTAAACTTTTTTTGTGTGGTAATTTTTCTTGTTATAAAATGGATTTAAGAGGTTGTTCGTTAAAGTACTTCATGGAAAATGAAGAAGTTTGTCTTAATTACATTAAAAATCATTTAGATCAGGTAAAACTTAAATTTCAAGCAAATATTTCATGTCTTACTCTTTTAAATAATCTTCATATAGATTCCTTATTTAAATGCAATCAGTATGGATGGGCTAAAAGATGGTGCCTTGGTGAGATTTCGAGGGATGGTTCAAGATATGAGAAGTTGTGAGTATTATCTTGATAAATATGAGATTAAAAAGAAGGATACCGAAGAAGTAACTTATAAATCGGGCCGATATCAAGATATTATTGAATGTAATGTATGAACAAGTTTATAATGTTAAGTAGGAATTTCTTTAATCTTTTTTGTAATTTTTTAGGATAATGAAATCATCAATCAGTTCAGTAATCGAAATAAAACCTCAGAACGTCATCCTTTAGTTCTTATATCTGTTCCTGGGTTAAATAATTGGGTTACTGATGTAAGAACCTTATTTTTACAGTAAAACCTTGATATAATGGACTAATATGGCGAAGGGAGTGTCTGTTATAGCCAAAAGTCTGTTATATGAAACTTTTTTTTTAATTTTGCACTTTAAACTGTTTGAATGAATAATTTTAATGCACACAAATTCGGACAGCTATGATACACTGTTGCATTAACCCAGCTATTAGTTAGTTTTACTTTTGTTTCAATAAAAATATACAAGTCTAGCGCTGAATAACAACTAATACTAGAACTAGAAATGTTCAGTTTTAGCTGTATGCTCTTAAGACGGCTGAACACAAATGTTTCTAGTTTTAGGTCAATAAAAGTATACAACAATCTAGCACTAATTAACAATTAAAACTAGAACTACCGTCCTTGATTTATACATCATATAGACAACTCTGTGAATACTCTGACTTTATCTATGAACATAGAATAGAGCAACTTAAGGAATAACTCGAGTTGGATTCTATCTATGAGCGCTAGCATTTACAGTGAAACCTCTCATAAGCAGGGCACTCATGGTTCTGCTGATTTTGTCCGCTTGTTGGAGGTGTCCGCCTAATAGAGCATGTAAAAAAACTACGACATTTTAATATGTATTAGAATAAAAGTACATAGTTGTATTATTTAAAATAAAACAGGAAAAACACAAACGGAAAATCAAATAACACTTTAAATATAAAATTATTAAAAAATGTACTATGTACAAATGTACATACATACGTACTAAAGTTATTTACATATTTACAAATTCTAAAATGTTCCATTGACGCATATCTAGTATTTCTTGCTTAAAAAAACTAGGTTGAAAATGATCTAAATTTTTGAAGTGTTCAAATGCAATGTAGTCGTCTTTTGCAAAAGCTTCTAAATCGTTAATTACTTTGAAAGCCTCATTATATGTAGTAATTGTGTTGCTGCTTTCAACAGTGTCACACTTGAGATCTTCTGGTGCAGGATCATGTTCAATCACATGGTCAATGTTCAAACTCATCTCTTCTCTTGCTGCATTATCGTCGATTCGAACATAATTTTCAAGATTTTCTTGTATTATGTTCATTTCATTGGCACACCTTTGAATTTGAACTATCGTAGATAAAGGCAGATAATCTTTCTGTTTATATAGACGGAAATCTTGACGATCAACCTTCCACTAGCGGTTTTTTTCTTCTGTCCCGTCCTTGGTTCTCACTACAGGATGTTAGATCTCAGACCTCCTGAGTCTAGTTGACCCTAAATTATGCCCAGGTCCAGATGGTTTGCCTGGTAGGCTTATTACCAGTTGCGCGGAGGAAGTAGCTATACTCTTATATCATATTTTCAGTTTCTTTATGAAAGTATCTATCTTCGCTATGGAATGGAAAAAAGCAATTGTAATACCAATTTTCATGTCTGGTAAAAAACACTTGGTCACTAATTATCGACCGATTTATCTTCTCCCTATCGTTTCAAAGGTCTTTGAAAAACTAATGTATAACCACTTACAGCACTGAATTCACCCACAAATCATTCATCAACATCATGGTTTCCTACATGGATGGTCGGTAAAAACAAACTTGGTTAAATTCGTTAATTATGTTCAGAAGTCTGTGAATGATTGGCCTTCGACAAAATACATCACAAAATTCTTTTCGAAAAACTTAATAAATTTAACGTACCGAATAGCTTACTATTATGGGTTGCTTCTTTTATCTCTGGCAGACGCCAAGCAGTGAAGGTTAACAATTATGTTTCCCATTTCACGTCTGTTACGTCAAACGTACATCAGGGCAGTCATCTTGAACCAATTTTATTCTTAGTTTATATTAATGAGTGTTTTCGTCACTCCAACTTTTTGCTTTAGGCGGCCTACTTTTTCCAGGATTAGTTCCATATCCGACAGCTTGATGCTTGAGGAGGATCTTGAACGTCTGCAAGGCTATTGCCTCAAAAACTATTTGTTTCTGAATTATGATAAGTGCTATCAAATTACATTTAGTAGAAAGAGATATCCTAAAAATTTTATATATCGCTTGGGAGCTAATTATGTGAATACTACATCTCAAATTGTATCGGATGCTTCTAAATGGTTAAGGTTTATTATTCGTGTATCTCCTTCTTTTACCAATATGCGGCACATCGTTTCCTTGTATACGGCGTGCGTCGGTAGCGTTTTGAATTTTGCCTCAGTTGTTTGGAATCCCGCGTACGCCGTGTATGTGGATCGAATTGAGGCTATGCAGAGGAGGTTTTTGAAATATTTGGTCCACAAATTTAATCTCCCTTATTATACATATCCCAGCGCTGCTTCGTTTTTGGGATTTGTTGAAGGATCGTCGCTGTGTATTTGATATGATGTTCTTATACAGATTGGTCTGCGGTTTGCTTGATTCTATGGTGCTCTTGCGGGATGTTCGCCTTAATGTAACGTCTTATACCACTCGAGTGATGCCTCTCTTCAAGCTACCTGCCTCTAAATCTACACCAATGCTGTACTATTGCACTTCTACAATAATTGTTGTAATAATTTTGATTTATTTGTAGTTTCACTGAGAGTTTTCAGACGTTATGTTTTGAGTTTGAGTATTTGTCATTAATTTAATTTAATTTTGTTATGAACTCAGTTTATATTTTGATTTTTCTTTTTATTATTGCTGATTATTCTCTTTGTTGTTCTAATTTTAATGTTGTTCTAGTTGTTTAATGGATGCTTAATTGGGGTTTTCCCTGTATATATCCCGAATATAAATAAAATAAAATAATCTTCTGGATCCCATTCGAATGATGTAGAATCACCATTATTTTTCTGAAAACCAGCTTTTCAGCTTTTTTGAAGCAATTTTGTATCGTTGCTGACGAAACTTTATTCTAGGCTGTTTTAAGGTAATAATGTACCAAAACATTTATGAACTTCACTAACTACGAAGCAGATCTTACTTGATCCATTTTTAATAAAATGTGGTTTAGTATTCACCTTGGATAATAGAATTAAAAGGTCCGTATGATCCCCTGATCTAGTGGTTGACACGTTGATGTATTGGGAGGTAAAAAGATAACTTGTATGTTTTGTAGCTTTACCTCACGAGGATGGGACCCTGAGTTGTCCAAAAATAATAAAATTTTTCGTTTTTGCCTAACCATTTTCCGCTTCGCTTTTCTGATCACCAGCAAATCTTCTTTTTGCCCTGACATATTAGCACAAAGTAAAATTGTAAGACTTTTCTTGGAAAGTTTTTCACCGCTACATTTTTTAGTTTTAAAAACAAGTGCTTTGTTCGGTAAAGCTTTGAAGAAAAGGCTAGTTTCGTTGGCGTTGAACACATCTTCTGGCCAATACCCAAGGAGTAGCGCAGGCAACTTAGTGCTAAACTGATTTACGTCGTCTTGATTGGCATCAGCTGATTTTCCAGAAATACACTTAAAACTTAACGCGTGTTTCTTACGTCATTTTTCTAGCCAACCATTGGATGCCCGAAAGTTGGCAACATTTAAATTTTGTGATATTCCATGAGCCTTCACTAAACGTCCCGATATTGGAATGTTTTGGCTACGAGCACGAGGAAACCAATTAAAACACACGTTGTCAATTTGAAGTCCGTCAGTTTTCAAAAAACGCTTATTTTGGCCAGTATTGCTTCCTGCCTCCCACTGCATACGAATATTGTTTATATTCTTAACAAATTCTGCGGCTTGACTTTTTCCGATATTAAATTTTTCGGCGAGCTTCCGTACTGATAATTGTTCCTCTTCCGAAACGTTAACAACTTCTATTTTTTTACGCAAACTAAAAAGTTTTTTACAAGGCGTCATTTCAAAAATTTCTAGCACACACTATTTGCATAATAAAAAGAAATCAAGCCATAAAGCAAGCAGCTGTCGCGCAGATACTAAATAAATACGACAGAAAAGAAAGATTTAGTTTCGCACTAAAGCGAACGGAAATAGGTAATTCCCCGGTTTCAATATACTTATATTATTTGCGCGCGCGTTCCTTTCCGTTGTCCCATTGTTAGAGGTTCACATCCGGTCAAAAAATTTTTTGAATCAAGAGAAATTGTTCGCGTCCGGTTGTTAGAGTTTACATGTAAAGAAATAGGCAAACGTTTAGTTCCAGAATATTTGTCGGCTTAATAGAGGTGTCCGCAAGGATAGGTTTCACGGTAAATATAGTGCTGTGTTAAATAGATAATACCTATTAATAGCATGAATGGGGTCATACACACTTATTAAATTTAGAGAAAATTTTTATGTCAAACGATATATGCAAGTATATGCATGAACACAAAGTAAAAGAAATATTTTGATCAATTTTATATTTTGCGTAATTTGAAGTAAAAAATAGCAAATATTCAAACGAAATAATTTCGCGGCTTTTCTGTGACGTAGGAACCGCACTGCCTAAAACAAGTTAAATTGTCCGCTAGATAGCGCTTGCGGTGTGACAGTGTCAAAATAAAACCATGGATGTAATAGAGTGTCTCTATTACATCCATGAACAAAACATAATAAACATAACCTACAAACACTCTATCTCTTTTCAATACAACCTAAATGACGTTCATCTCTTTCTCGCATTTGAGCGGGTAGCAGGGGACGTAAAAGTGAGAATCGTACGTCATCAACGCGGGAATTTTAAAAGCGCAAATGGGTATATAAATTTTCAATAATTTTTTTAACAATGACTTTGTTCGAAAATATTAAAAAAAAAAATAACGGTAACTATATTTTTATATAAACTTTCAGAAAATATAATAAAAAAAAAATCGTGTATGACCCCATTCAAAATATTTTGTCCATTATATCCGAAGTCCGTTCTAACGCGGTTCGTTATATCGAGGTTTTACTATACTTTAATAAAAATTAATTTATATTAATTAATTTATTCAAATTAAATCATTCAGATTGAAATTACCAAATATGGAAATGACGTTGAACCCTCTCTTGAAGTTACCAAGGCAAATACAAAAAGAAAAAGTTTAGAATCTACAGAAGAAATGGAGCAATCTAGTTCTCACTCAACTGAAAACGAATCTAAACAAATTAAAAATGACACTGAATCTTCAAAAAAATTGTGTGATGAATCTGTAAAAGAATCCCTTCCAACTCAATCTAATCAACCACTTTCTGCGGAATATCTTTTAAATTTACCTTTACCTGATAGAGGTGGAAAAGTTTGTATTGTAAAGATATATGAAGAAGAAATTGATATAAAAGTTAATGAAATCTTGGATGTTGTCGGTTTTATATCATTAGATCCAAGAATGACTCAAACATCGCTTGAAAATTCATTATTTGATTGCGAAGAAACAGAAATTCTTGCACATCATCCACCGCCTTCATTAATTCCTCGAATACAAGTTGTTCATTGGAGTAGAACTCATCATGTTAATCCACTACTTCATACAGAAATTGATTTGAGCATGGAGAAAGCTACTATGCTATGTACAGAGCTTAAAATGATTTTCACAGAAATTTTGTTTGGGGATTCTTTGGCAGGGAGTTATTTGTTTTATCATTTAATATCAACCGTTTACTTAAGAAAAAATTTGGCTGTTTTGGGAAAATTTACATTAAATTTTTCAAATATTCCACAATCATTAGTTTCTGAATTTGGAAAAAATTTGTATGAAATTATTGAATTGTTAGTTACTCATAGTCATTATTTACCAATGACTTTAGATAATATGAATGAATTATCTTTTATTCCAAAGTAAATCTATAGTTTAATCACATTTTTTGTTGTTATTTATTGTTACTTGATTTTAGAAAAGATGTTGATGCAAATAGATTAAACAGCAGTGTTCTTCAACTAGCTCCAAACACACATTTAATTCTTGACGAGACCCAAATGTCTCCAGGAAGATTGAACTCGTCGGGATGTCAAGCTATTGCAGCTTTAAACCGATTAATTAAAGACCAAGAAATTAGTTATGATTTTAAAGTCTACAACGTTGATTTTTGTCATAATATTCCAATTTTAATTGTTTCTGAAGGAAAATCAATGTTGCCAGTAAGTTATATTTTTATATTACTCAATAAAACAATAATTTAATAATAAAAAATGGCCTTAATTAATTTAATCTTTAATCAAATTGTGGTTAAAGTTATTAATTTTGGCCTAAATCAAAAATCACATACCAGGTGCAAGTATTTATTGAGTTTTAGATATTTGTGTATGCTAAGGTGGACAGATTAATTAATAATTAATTTTTAAGATTATTATTTTTTGTTATTTTTAATTTAAATTTAAGGCGATTGTTTTTTTTTGTAGTCTGATTACCATGTTATTCTTCAACCAAATAATGTACATGTTGAAACATACTCAGAAGTATTCCCAGCTGCTAAACTTTTATTAACCCAAGAATTATTAAATGATTTACGTCAGTACTTAACGTTATCAAAACATAAAAAACACGAACTTCCGCAAGATATTGAATGTGTAAGTAAAAATAATAAAACACTTTTAGTTAATTTTAAAAGTTTTATTGTAATAGCTGATTGAGGAAGATTTTGTGAAATATCGTCGTGAATACGATATTAACGCCCAAGATTTACACCAACTTTTAGATTTAGCAAGATTGGTTGCTTTTGGGGATGGGAAATCAACTATTGATAAAAACAGTTGGAAAAGTGCTTGTAAGTTAGAAGAAGAACGCTGGTTACGTATAAGAGGACTTTAATTTATTACGTTTATTGTTAATAACAGAAATAAAATTTGTTTGGTACTTTTGTTTAACCTTCAGTTTTATAGAAAACATTTAAGAGGATGGAGTATAATTGGTCGGGATCTAAAAGGTAGGTTTTTATTTTTATTAACGTTTCCCAGGAAATAAATTTGTTGAATTCTTCTAAAAGAGGCTAAAATTAAAAAGAAAAGTATTATTAACTTATATAATTAATATATATTGCAACTTTAATGGTTAACCCTTTAATGCACTTTGATATGATATAGTCGATTTATGAAGACTGAACCATCAATTGGAACGTCTTGCATTATTTGTGGACTGACTAATTACTGACATCCAATTTTATAAATTTATTAAATCTTCTCTATCTTTCTCCACAAAATACTTGCTTTTCAGTGGGAGATAGATCTATTGTGTACATATTTGACACACCACATTTATTAAAAGCAACTTGTAACAATCTAATCATAAATAATCTTTTAATCAAGCGAGTAAAAATATCATGGAATTATATAGTACAATTTTATGAAAAGGGCTGTCGTTAGAGGAATAGACAGACATCAAAATTAAGTAGTTCATACATATCGCCTAGTAACTTTGAAAAAATGAAGGTGAAATTTGCAGAACAAGTAATAAGTAGAACTGTTGCTAGTGGTAATAATTAGAAACACACCTCGCGCTGGGCGCATTACCAGCAGAATCAATAGAAATTCAAATTCAATAATCTGTTCGACATTTTAAATGCATCACCATCTTCAACAGAAAAGTTTAGGAGTCCATATAAAGGAGAACTTTATAAACAACAATATTTGGATAACATGATAGCATTTATAGCAGATTAAAAAAGTACTCAACAAAAATGGAAAGGATATCACCACCCCTTAAATGCTTAAAATTCCCATCAAATCATGAATCGCATAAAAATGTTACGGCAAAAATTAGAACGGGTTGGTTTCACTTCAATTTCTACCAGAAATTTAAACCAAGATTGTTTGGAAATTTTTTTTGGAAGTGTCCGGCAGCAAGGTGAAAATTGGAAAAACCCAATTCTTATTCAATTTGAACGGTTATTCACCAAACTTGTTTGTCAAAACTATTGCTATAATAACAACAATAATTGTATCAAGTGTATTATCTATGTTGCAAGCTTAATATTCATTAAATAAAACCATCAAAAAACTAACTTGCTATTTATTATAAATTTACAGTCGAGCCGGTTTTGGGTTACCCCATCTTCAGCGGCAAAAATCAGAGCATCTGATGAAAAATGAATTAAGTGCAAGTGAAACATTATGCAATCTGATGGATTAACAAAATGAATGTTAATAAAAATGTTACACGTAGTGATGGCGTCGTGAAAATTTAAAAATGGTTAATTAAAATAAAAGCTAGTGAAAAAGTGAAGTGTCGGCGGGATGAGTTGAGACGAAGCGGGGCCACTTGGTAATTTCTTCGGAGGTATGTTTTCCTCGCCCTTCGAACGAGCGCCATTGTGGTCCATGCAGTTGTTTTCACATCGCCAGCAGACCATAGCAGACCTCTTCATTCAATTTGGCGACGTTCCAACGGTACGCATATGTGTGTTTTGAATCGTTTGGTGTTCTTAAATGGAAAACCAAATGTATTGGTGAAACGTTAACGTATTGGCAGTGTTTACTACAGTACGCTCCGCTCTGGTAGCCATATCAGGGAAACGCTTCTCAGATTAAACTTAACCAGAGTATCAAACTATGATGATCGTCATCTGAACATAAACAATTTCACCCTTCTTATTGATCATAATAAATGTTATTTATTATGTATTTTGTTTATGTACTAAAAAAGGAAAAAATGAATATATTTTGATTGTTATTAAAATATGTGTAATTTTTTAACAAGGAGTATTCGGCGTTACGAAAATTTTAGAAAGATACTGAATGTTTGGGAAACAATTTTCTGCTTGGCAATGAACGTGTTAAAATAGAAAACCTTTTGAGCAAATCTTGGGCATATGATTTCAACTGTTGAAAATAACTAAGCAACTGCTGTATCAGTTTGGGCAACTTTAAGTTTTACCAATAAAAATAAAAAAGTGCGTTAAAGGGCTAGTAAAGTAATAATTACCATTATAAGAAACCATTGGTGGAGCAATTTATAGAAAATCGGTATATATTTAGTATGTCCTAAGTTATTAAATAAAGTAATTACATCACAGTAAATATAAATTGTTTCTTGTAATAAACATTGAACTATTTCAATATCTTTCGGAGTCATTGCATCTATTGCTTTTGAAATGTATTTCTTTACATATCTCACAGTATCCTAAAAACACTCTTTTAAATTTCGTCGAAAGGATTTTTGTATGTAAGATGAGAGATTAATTTAAAATTCAATTTCATAATTCTTCGATTGATAAGTTATAAGACATGGTAATAATAATTAAATTACGCCTTATACATAATAATGTAGCTTTTAATACAGGGTCTAAAGAAACTTTTGTTAATTACTTCAACCTTAAAATATAATTAATTAAAAAATATAAATAAATATGTTACATAACCGGTAATATGTCTGATAAAATCTTTACAATATTGAGCAAACTATAATATTCTTAACTTCATTTCTTTATTTGTAAATCTTGTCTAGTAGACTCAATAATATCGTTCAATAAAGAATGAAGTGTCTTCTCAGATGACATATAAATGTAACCTTAGGTTAATTCTTACCAAGTCCTCACATAATGTACATCAAAGCCACAATGCGATAAGTGTGTCGAATCCAGATTTAACTACACCCAAGGAGCTCACAACTAATCTACGTGCCAAAAAAATTGCAACGCCTCGAAAGAGCTGAGTCACAAAGCACAAGTTTTACAAGTAATTTGTGTTTATTTCAGTAGTAAACCATTACAATTGAAAAAAAATACCAACAATTTATGTCAATAAAATGTTACATTCCCACGACTGTCTAACTCTGCGAGTCATGCTCTGAATGAGATGATGGTATATTGTGGAATCTTATCCCAGGCTTGCTGTAGATGACGACGAAGTTCCTGCATGGTGTTTGTTGCTTATGGTAAACGCCTTATACAGCGACTCATCATATCCACACATGCTCGATCGGGTTTAAATACGGAGAGCGAGCAGGCCAGGGGAAGAATTGCTACTTATTGATGTAGGAAGATCTAAGACTATCTGTCTTAGATCTCTCATCCAGTCAACAGCACACAAAGACAAAGACTCATTTGTCTAAGGCGGCTATCTTTACGTTGGTTAGTCGCTCGAGGACGACAATGTTGATTATGTTCTTTAGACCACGCAGTCCATGCTCGAAGCACTGTTGAAGGGTTTCGATTCAATCTTCGACCAATTCGCCCTTTTTCAAAGTCAGACAATTGGTTAAACCGCGGTTTTCTACCAATTCTAGGCATCGTTATTTACTTTGTGATGCAGTTTTGAACTTTCCTGTTACAGATTTTTTGTTTCACAGCAAAAGAACCATATAAAAACTTTTCAAACAATTCTTTGTGTATCGAGATGATGCTTTTATCACCCACTTTTTACATGCATCCAGTTGTTTCGTTAAGATTCTAGCTTGACGACGAGGTGTTGCAATTTTTTTGCAATCCAATTCGATACCCAATATTTATATATTAAAACAACCTATAGAACATCTTTTCAATCTATGATGTTGTCCTCGTTTGAAATAAAGAGCAAAAGAACATAATGAAATGATACATTATCTTAAAACTGTTAGCGCATATGAACACTGATAGTTTTCACCTTGGAAAAGTGTATAATATTAACAATTTTTCAATTTACTTTAACTGGTTTAACCAGTTAAACTACATGGAAACCGCGACCATTTATTGACCAACTAGTAACACAGAGGTAACAAAGATTAACCAATATTAACGATTTTCATTGGCAGTTCAGCATGCTAACAAAATAGGCAAAGTTAGAGAGATGATATACACAGACTTTTATAATTGTATTTGAATAGTCTTCAACATATAACTTAAATGATCAAAGCGATCATTTTGTTCAAAAAGGTTGCGACAGTTTGTCTCAACTAGATCCAATGTATACTATTGAATAAAGGTCGTTTTGAAATAAAAGTATCTATTATGTGCAATCATACATACTAAGGGAAGTACTTTAAACACCGATACCTATAACGACATGCTGATGTTTCTCAAGTGGGTTTGTCACTGCTGCAATCTATTAGCTATGGGTTACTGTTTAACGACAGATTATTTTTATACGTCTCCACAGTTAACAGAATTGTGATAAAAAAGATACAAACTTGTGTGGAACTATGCGCCATAATTGATAAGAATATTCTATGGAGTTTTTAAAGCAAAACTTTATAAAGGTGAGATAACTACATACTAACGATATCTACTAATCATTTCAGTTTTTCCACTAATCATAATGAAAAAACTATGATTATGAAATGAGATGGCAAAAAGAACATTTGCCTTTTTTCTACAATACATAATACTGAAACAAAGAAAACTAGAAAAAGAGATTTTCAAAGATAGTATGAATGCTATCTAAACTACAACGATACTCTAACAACTATAACAAAGGATAAAAAAATGGTATAAAAATAGTTTTCCATTTATTGAAAATTTCTGTTTGGAATACCTTTGATTTATATCAAAAAATCGGCGATCCGAAACAAATTACAATTTCGACAAACTCTGATAAAGAAAAGACAACAAAATACCATACTACCAAAAAAATTCATTAGTAGAATTAGCGGTAGAGTCACTAGCGTATTTTTAAGAGGGGCGACAAGTGGTAGAGTAACTTTCCACGGTGCTATACCACTCTACTCTACTACAACCAACTGCTCTACCCTACCAGTTACGATTTCATTAGGCGAGTTTACAAGATAGTTAGAACTTACCCAATATACTCTACCACTAATTCTTCTTCTGAAAACCCGGCTTAAAAGACACTTTCCTAAATATGTACCAAAAAAGGCACTCCTTATACAACTCGCTTTATGTTGCAGCAAAAAATTAAGAAGGAAACTAGATTATATTACAACAGCTGTAATATCATCGCAATATTTTTTGCTAGTCAAATTAAAACAATAATTTAGGATTGATTCGCAAGGAACAACAGCTTCTTAAGACTCTGTAGTCATATTTGAAAAAATTCTAATAACTGTTTTAATTAACTACTTTAGTAAATCTTTATACATTACTGAATATGTATAAATTCGCATGGTTCTTTTCCAATTCCATATTTGTGTAGCATAATATCTCGCTTTATTATTCTTAATTTCCGTTTCTGTTTCAATAAAACAATTTAACTTTGTTCCATTAACATCAATATCTCTAAAAGATAATAAAATCAACCTAAAATAGAAAAAAGAAATATATATTTTACCTACAGCAGTCCATTAAACTTTTGCGTACATTATCGGTTTGATTAATATTTATTTCTTTATGATTTATGATTCGAGGTATATTAAGTGATCGTGGTGCTATTAATGCATCAAGAAATCTATTACTTACGCTACAAGAATTGAAATAGTTCAAAGCTTTTGCGGCCGTAAACGCGGTTTTCACGTATTCCGATACGTTTTTCAAACAATTAAAATATCTTCGTTTAAATTTGACCAAATTATTCACCTTTAACGGATTTGGTTTGTTTTTCTTTCTTTGCATTTTCTTCGATGACATAATTTATACTTTAAAACGTTTCAGAAATGACAAATTGACAATAATTTTAACGTTTTTTATTGGCACTATATTCGTACTACAATTTTTTATAAAAGTTTTTTTCCTGATCTTAATTTCACTAATTTATATGAAATAAGCCAGATTTGGTGCAATGATATCTTTATCAATATCGTTGAAAATACTGGAAAGATGACTTCTAAAAAAGTATTGTGAATTAAAATTAATTTGTACCTAATAATTAATTAACAAAAAATGAATAAAATGAGAAAGTAACATAAAAAACTTAACAAATTGTGACAAAGCTTTAAGTACACATTAAAATCTTTAAACTAATCTTTAAAATCTTTATATGGATAGAGTTTATCTTCGGCATTTGCTACAATATCGGTTATTTTCATATCAATCTTCTTCATTGCATCTCGATTTTCTCGTTCTTTGCGTAACAAATTTAACCCTCTCTTTACAACTACATTGTAGCGTTGAGATAATGATTCTTCACTACCTTTAATGCGTGGAATGTGACCTGTATATCCAGCTATTGGCGGAAAATCCGGCGAAATATGTTTAGCTACAATAAAATAAAAATGTGTGTTATCGATATGATTTAATAATGCATTTTTGTATCAAAAACAAACGTTTAAATTTCCTCCACTCTTCATAATCTTTCATAGTTTGAGCTACTTCATCTTCATTTCTAATTGGTTTCATTTTAATCGGCGCACTCGCTCCTCTATACATTCTATCTTTATCTTTTCTAGCTTCTTTAGTTTTTCTTACATGTTCAACGAATTCACACATACTATCATCAGCAGTTCTAGTATAAGACTTTCCATATCTAAAGTTTAAAGTTGGAATAAAACCTGTAAAAATAATTTTTATAATTTATGTTGAATCTTTTTGGTTACTACCTGTATATCCGATAATGTATTTTGGATATTTGTGTTTGATATCATCAAAATAATCTTTAGTTTGCCCTTGAGTGCGTTCAATCGGCTTTAAAGGTCTTAATATAATCTGCCCCGGATCGGAAACTCTATAATTATGAGGTTGAGCATCTTGAAGGACTCTTTTATCACGTAATTCCTAGAAAGTACTCTTAAAAAGATTTTTTATTTAAGTTATGGATTTAATACCGATATTATTTCTTGTGTTTTTGATCCATAACTTTGACCATAATGAAAGCGTAATGTCGGGCAATGTCCAGTGTATCTATAAGAAGAAACAAGTTTTAGGAAAATAAAAAATCGATTTCATTTTGATTGCAAATTATAGAACAAAGCAATCTTTTAAGAAAAACGATGACTCGCCGGAAAGAAAACTAGAACCCAATAAGTAGCTTGCAGTCAGTCAATCAAATCAATGGTTCCGATCACTCTCGATAATTTAATGCGACCGTGACAAATCTACGCAGCAATTCGTTACTGTTGAGTTCACCTACTTAAAGGCCGTAATCTCAAATTACACTTTTTTTCCGTTACGATTTCTAGTACGATTGTTGTCGTATTGTTCTATAAGAAATTACCCTATTTTCCATATCAAACGACTACGAAGCGTTTAGTAAAAACTCCCTTTAGTTGGTCGAAGGGAGTACCAAGCAACGCAAGGTACGAATGCGTTTTCCTGTTGATTATCTGATTTTATCCTGATGGCTCTATCATTAAAACATAGAACCACAAATAGAGAAAATTAATTTGTGTGGAATAAGAAATGAAAGTTTATTGAGGACTACTGTACTTGAAAGGCGTAAGAAAACTTAAATTTGTGTTCATAATTGTTTATTTAGATTGTAATTAAACAAAAAGTTGATTTTAAGAAAATCTTAATTGGATTTTATTATTTATTTTTTAAATACTTTTTTAACTAATTCGAACTTATTTACATGATTCTGTACCTTGAGTTAATCGAAAATTTGGAATAATAAGGTAATTCAAAAGTTTTCTTGATTTTTGTAGTTTTTTAGTTTAAAGTAAGTCTGCTTGTTTGAATGTTATGGATAATGTTTAAAAGGATGGATTAAAAAACTCTTATGCCAAAAACTGTAAGTTTTAATACTAACAAACTTCTGGAGGTGATTCTTTAGCAAATGTTATGGATTTTTATATGAATTATGAAAGATATAGAAATTTAATTTTGATTGCAGGCGTAAATTATAATGTTACCATTGGAACGATTTGTTGTGTAATGATGAAAATATTTGATTGGCATTTAGCATGAGAACACTTTTTTGATAACCTTGTTTACTTCAGCATCTTAGACAAAGTTAGTTATTCAAACACCAACTTTAAAATTTGATCATACAACCGAAGCAGATAGCAGTTGTCCAGCAGCAATGTATTATTTCCTCTGGGCTGTACTGATGATGTCGTTCTACTTTCTCACTTCTTTTCATATTCACTATGACTACATGAATGTATTTTATATGGATATGATCATCAATGATGCTTCCTATATATACTTATGATTAGAACATTCGCAACTGCATCAAAATACAAGTAGTGGTTAGATATGAATGTACTGGATGTAGATAAAATTACTTAGAGTAAACAAATTACTTAAAGTACATTTTATCCATTTATAAATACTTTTATGTCAAACAAGTAAAAGTATCCAATACAAATTACGCTAAGTACTAATAGTAAAACTTATGGGTATTATTTTCAATCTCTTTTCAATTTGAAAGTACTAGGGGCGTAATATGTCCCATACATAAAAAGGGCGACAAGGTGAGATGCTCAAACTATCGAGGGATATCGCTGCTGTATGCGGGCTATAAGGTGCTGACGCAGATCCCGAACAACAGACTGAAGCCTATCACAGAAACCCTGATTGGTGAATACCAGACAGGGCAGATCAACCACCGATCAGATCTTCACGGTGAAACAAGCAATCTGGAAAGCTTGGGAGCACGACGTAGATGTCTACAACATTTTTGTTGATGGCGTACGACAGTATACACAGAGAGAAGCTCGTTAAGATCATGTATAAGATGGGGATCCCTGCCGAACTTATTTCGGCTGACAAAAGCAACAATAACCGACTCGAAGGCGTGCGTTCGTGTACAGGGACAGGTAACCGACTGATTTAGCCCTAGAATACGTCAAAAGAGAAATGGTAGTGAACATACAAATCAGTACATTTAGCGTCATACACGGATGACATGAACATAACGAGCTGAACAAAGCAAGCGAGAAAAGAGACATATACCAACCTGAAAAAGTGCGCGAAAACGGTTGGATTTGAGATTAACTTGAAGAAAACACAATTAATGATACAGAAGAAGGCAAATAGCAAAAATCCACTCATAGCAACGCTATATGATGTCAGCGTGGTGGGCCGCTTCACCTATTTGGACGAGGAGCTAACGCCGAACGGAGCCGAAGACCAAAAGAATCGTAGCTGCTAATAAGGCGTACTTCTCGCTGATACAAAGCTTCAAATTGCAAAGCATACACCGAAAGACCAAATTGAGAGCCTACATGACAATTATCCGGCCAATCGCTTTGTACTAATGCGAATCCTTGATCCTAACGCTAAGAAACGAGGAGAGAATGAATATTTTCGAGAGGAAGATAATGAGAAGAATTTTGGGGCCCGTTATGGAGAACAACCTTTGGAGGCCTAGGTACAACCACGAATTGTATCAGCATTTTAAGGAACCCCCACTGTCTGATTTTGCGAAAATCCAAAGGCTGCGGTGGGCGGAACATATTGTCAGGATGGAAGATTGATAATTAGACGAATGCAGGGAAAGAGGCCAACCGGAAAACCGAGAAAAAGGTGGGAGAACGCGGTGGAAGAGGATGCAAAGACGTGGATGGGAGTGCGGAGTTGGAAGAGAGTGGCTCTGGAAGAGATTTGGGCTGTAACGCCATAGGAAAAGGAAGAAAAGTAATCTATTTCAAGTAAAAAAGTATTGAATACTTTACTTACACTACTGTTAGGATTAGTAACAACATATAGCTACTTTTATTGTGACATGTATAGCATGGATTAGATGATTAGATCATCAAAGTATTCAAGTTGAGAAATTTTTTGGTTATTTTCAAAATACTCTCAAACATCCGATTGATTAAGTACTTTCAGTTATCATCTAAGTTATTTACTCTTGTAGTAATAAGTTTTCATCAATGCATGCAAGTCATTACAAGCAAAGTGACTCTAACTAACAACGTAACCAGCAAATTGATTACCACTATAATTCAGAAACACCAACGATCCCAAAAATGAGACTTCAAGAGAACACAAGATATAACTCGGCTTAATAAATGGCTGGGAAATTTATGTTCAAAACATCTATCTGTTCTAGTTTTGTAAAGGGTAACTTGTTAGAACTGCGAAAAAATGGTTAACTTAGTAATATTGGATGGAATATTGGGCAAGGTATTAACTATTACTCGTTCAAAGAGCGTTGCAAAATTGCTTATGATGTAAATAAATCTAAAATTATCAATATCGCCCTTTTTAAAATTCGATATATTTTTGCTGAACTTCTATGGAATAGGAAAGGTTTTGATACAAATTTTTTAATAGCTAAATTAATTATTGTTCGATGTTCATTTCATTAATAATTTAATTAAATGAACATTGACAATAACTAACTAAATAACTTGGGATTTGATTTTTCCCAGATATCACCCATAAGACCGAAAATGAATAATGCATCAAAGGAAAATTATAAGACCCCTTGAAGGTATCCAGAGTACAATACTTCTAAAATTCCCCCATAGAAACATACACAACGTTCCGTGGCTAATCGATACCATTTCCGTCACTTCGGAGTTTACCCACAATTTTATTCTCAAAATACGTTTCCTGATATTAACGAATAGCCATACATTTACAGGAACATCTTTGAGACTGTTGTTAGTGTTCTCATATTAGGAAAGGGCAACCTTGTCAAATAGTTTAACATCCTATCCCAACGATAATCTTTCTAAAATACTTCTTGAAATATAAAGAAAACTAAACACCAATAGAATTGAGAGGCAGGGTGGTTATGATGAAGAATAAAATACCAATAGAGTTGCTGTTGAGCACAAATAGTTTTCACAAGACATGGAAATAATGGCAGGCTTACTCTTAATGTTTACCTGATCAAAAATCGATTGCACCGAAAGCAAGACGATTGCTTCTATTTGCACTATTTCAACTATCAATACTCCACCTAGCAGCTATTACAGCATTAAGACGGCTGCTAGGTGGCAGCCGTCTTAATAACCATATTAACAATTTCTGGCGAGGTAACACAAGTTAGGCATTGAAGGCAGTTTGTTCCTAACTGTTCTTGTTTAGAGTACAATTTTCTTTTACACAAAAAATTATATAGTTGAGACAAAAAAAAATATCTTTTACGATGATTTCTCGTTTCTGTTGGTATCACTTGCTTGTTTTTATCTATTGTCAGGTGTAAAATATCTTCTATGTAATTCTTTTGACATGTGTAAAATTTTTGGAATTAATAAATCCCAAGCCAGACTATTTTTGGAACGTGTCAAATTGAACTCTTCCTTGATAATTCTGACTGTTTACCGAAACAAAGGTGGCTCTTTAACAAAACACTCTCTGCGAATTGCTGCTAAAGTTGTGCTAATTATTTCGTTGCACTGTGCCTAAGTTGGTGTAACATTTAATAGTACAACGGTGCAAAACATTGAAACCTTACATTTAGACTACTGTAGAAGAAAACGTTTCATAAAAGAAATCATTATGGACAACCAAACGAGTTTAATGAATTACCATAATTACTTTATTTATATATCTGTATTATATATCCATATCTTTATGGATACAGTGACTGATTATTTGTAATAAAATCTCCTGAAATATACAACAGGTTCAATCATTGAACACTTTTGCCAAAAAAAATCATTGAATAATAGACAATAGTTGATATCTTTGAATCGACGATTTCCTATATTTGTAGCAAAAATTGTGCCCCCACATTTATTAATACACAATTGTTCCATGCATTTGGTTTTCGAATGATAAATGGCAACTAATTGCCACAAACCATAGTAAGCACGTTGCATGTGTTAACTAGCGTGAAGAATGAGTTAAATATGGGATTATTACACAACTCACCTCCCATCTTAGCCAACTTAAACATAATACTTAATACATTTTGCCTACTTAGTATTTTACTATGTCTAAACGATTATCCATTAATATGAGATTTAGAAAACAATTTCTTTGTAACCAAATTCACAAAT